GGGGGGGGGGGGGGGGTGTTTTGCTACGCTGTTAGAGGATTAGATCCTCCATATTATATTTGGATAAAATTGTCTAAAATTCAAATTTTATATCCTAAATAATGTATTAAAATTCTAAGTATTAAATGTTTGGTGGAATTAATGAATTCTGCTGATTCACCCACTTAAGCTGATTTAGGATATAATATTAAATTAATTACAAATTGCATCTTAAAAAATCTTAATTTACATCCTCAAAGATAGAAATTTGTATTAAGGAGCACTTGAAACTAACAGCTGTCAGTTTACTCTCTAAAACTAAATAGAAAAATTATCCATAGGTCCCCTCGCTTATCACTTAATCATTTAAACCCCCTCATATTTAAAATATTACTCCTACACCATCTGAAGTTTATACACGTGTAACACATAACCCCTTGTTATTGATATTTGTTAATATACCTATTAAAGAATATGATTTCATCCTAATAAAAATTTATAATTTCATACTATCTTTTATTTTGTAAGTTCATTAAACTCTAAAGTTCAAAATCTAAGATTATTATTTGAATGTCTAATATAATGCCGATATTTATATAATGTTCTTTATATCTAATGCAATATATCACTGAAACAGAATTATTTGAATGTCCAATTGGGGTAATATTTTTAATCATATTTAGATTTTCAAGGAATGTAGGTGTAATATTTCAAAGGTCAGAGGTTTAAGTGATTAAGTGACAAGTATGAGGGACTTTACATGTAATTTGTCCATTTAATTTTAAACAATAAACCGACGGTTGTTAGTTTAAGGCGCGCATCGACATAAATTTTTATTTTTAAGAGTGTAAATTGATATTCGAACAATTTTTCGGAGTGTAAGTTAAAATTAGCCCTACAATATTTGATAAATAATTTAATAAACATAATATTTTTTATTATATTTTTACTTAATTTTACTACTTAATAAATTATCAATAGTGTATAAACAAAAGCTGGGCATAAAAGTAACGGGTTCACGTAAGTACATACCCACCGAAAGATACCAAAAAGGTCGGATAGAATCAGCCATATTGAAATTCTCTATATTACATATTCGCCCAATTTTATTCCATAACAGTAAGTCAGTAAATCACCAATTCGAATGGTATGTACGGGTGAGGGACCCATTACAAATAATAAATTTTAATCAAATTAAAGATAGGTAATCGGCCATTAAATAAACAAATAATGAAAAACATCTTAATCTTACTTGTGTTTGAGAAGTAGATAAAGACCTTATCGGACATTGTTTAAACAATTGGGCTAATAGTATGTTTACTGGGCTAAAATCTAGAATTAAAGGTTAATCAGTCTTCTCTAATGCATGGTTTCTTTTTCTAATGCCTCATTTTTCTCCCTAGTCCCAAAAGAAAAGGATAAAACAGATTCACGAGGGCCTACAGTTTTGGACAGAAGTTGCGCAAGTCCTGTGTCAGAGATAGATGTGTTAAGCGAATCGAGTTTTTTGAGTTTGAATTCGAGTATGACGAGTTTCTTTTTTTAAATAAATTTAAAAAATTATTTAAATTTGGTTCATTTATAACTTGAGCCAAACTCGAGTCCAGTCCGAGTTGTTTAACTATTTTACATATGAGTCGAGCTTTGCGAGCTTGAGCCGAACCAAAAAAATGAATCTAAAAAATTATTCAAACCTAACTCGTTTAAAATTCGAGTCAAACTCAAACCGATTTTTATCTAAACCAGTTAACACTCCTAATCAAAGCTAAACTAAATTGACCTTTTGAGTTGAGTATGGTCTGGATTATGGTAGAAGGGGATAAAGTTGGAAAAGGGGGCTTGCAAATGCACTCTATGGGCCCTCCTGAAGCCCAGATCAAATAGCAATGCTACACAAATGAAATTTCAATGTCGCTGCATATATAACAGTTTGGATGGGTTTTTATTTTAAAGCAGGAATTGGATTGTATTTATGAAGCTCTTCTAAATTCAATACTGAAAAATTTATACATGGGATACAAATAATACATCCTATCCAATTCTATGTTTGTTAAGTGATATAAATACATGCGGCGTTCGTGGGTTTATGATAAATTATATTACTTAATTGATTCAAATATCTATTATTAAGCGAATAGAAGAATGAATTTATGAGTAAAATAATCTTTTTATTTATAAATCTAATCTCCCACTTTGAAACCCACTCCCTATGAGTTTCATCAAAACCCCATACTTGAGTTTTAACACATTATTCATTACGAGTCGGTATTCATTTACTTTTTAAATCATGAATCTCAAATCTTGAACAAAACACAATTCTAAAAGGTGCATTAGTCTAATTGCATCAGATTTATCGTCTGTTGCAACGACAATAAATCTGATTTGTTAATTACCACTAATCCAATGAAACTGGCACATGGATTCCAATTTGAACCCCAGATTCAATCTCAACAATATTACCTAAATTTTACAGAGTGGATGAAGGGAGAGTGGTATGTTTTTTGAGCAAAGTCATAGATAACTTAGTAGCTTTTTGTTGTGCAGTGATGGTTAAACAAACATAATCACAACTGGAGAAACTCATCATTCCACTTAAAAGAAATGTATATGGTATACATCACGATTCATGAACACACAGACAGCAAATAAAGCCTCTTGTTTCTATTATAAGAAGAAAGAAAAAAACATTCCATGTGAAAAGATAAGACTAAATGAACCACTTGTGGTTGCATGAGCAATGCCATCATCCAAAGAACGTGTTTATGCACAAACACGATTCGTGTAACTAACTCCAAATAATTCAATCAATTATGCACACGTCGCAATGGTTTGCGAACACTAAGCAATTTGACATTGTCTATTACTGGACCACAGAGAGAACCGGAGTGGTCACTCTTCATGTGATAAAATGAACTCAAGAATCTGACCCTTGTCCGTGGTAAGACTGCTTTGAACGGTAGTGTGGCTAGCTTGAATCCCCCTTTGCCCTTAGATTCATAGGGGACCTGAAGAGTAACATGCCCTGCGAATGCCTCGACAACCATCGGACCTTCACACAAATCATTAGCATCACCCACAGCAAAAGTGAGGACATAGTCCGAGTCTACTTTGGTCCTAACCAGCTGTGCCAGGGCACTTTCTCTTCCAGCAACAAGTTCTACTGCTCGATTGCCCCCTGGCACAAAGAAGTGCTTGGAGTCAATGTACTTTATGGCTTTCAGGGATTCGATCATCCAGCCGGGTAATGGAGAATGATCGTCCTCAATGTTGGGAGGAATTAGGACACCGGACGAAGCGTTAGGGAACACATATGGACCCTCTTCGAAATCTCCATTCTTCAGCAGGTTTTCTGCAATACATGTAATGGTGTAAAGATCAATGACAGAGGCTTTTTAGGCTAATATGGAGTCATTGTGAATAGAACACTCAGCAGTTGTAAAACTAGTAAGTCACTGAAAATAATTAATGGTTTGTAGCCCCTGGGAAGTAGGCAGTCTCAACTTGTAGTGGCTTGGTGTACTTGTACAAATTTTGGGCAATTTTTTTATATCAGTCTAATAGTAATTTATTCTAAGAATCGATACATATGGTTTTTGAGTGATTGTGCGCTTCAGAAATTAATTTAAGTTCCGTAATCGATGCAAAACACGGAATTAAACTCCGTTAAAATAAAACCTAAAAAAAGAAGTGATGCTAAATGCCTCCCAATCTGGGTGCCAGCTCATTACAGAATTGGCCATGCAGTTCAACAGGGGTAGCTTTTATGAGAAGAGGCAATAGAAAAATGAAGTGCATGTGACTTGCCAACCCATGGATTCTATATGTCGGATCTTTGATTCCACACGGAGAGAGGGGAGAGGGACAAAAAGGGTAATACTGGACTATTCAAACATTAATGCTTTGGATCCAATAGATATTCTAAATTTTATATCACAAATGAATGAAAGAGTGAATCTCATTAAAAAAACTTAATGCCACCAACAAAAACTGCACTATTTTGTTTTTTTTTTTTTAATTTACTTTTTAGTCCGTCTAATTGGACAAAAATTTCACTTCCACTAATTGATAAATCTTTAGGTCAAATCATAATGATTTATCTCTTATTAATATTTTACAACGTGGATGATTTGATTTTAACCAAAATAGAGACAAAATTAATTGAAGTGTCTCTAAATTGACCCTAATAATTTTGACTATTGAACTGAAAAAATAAAAAAAAATACCAGTCTCACCTCTTGTTCGTTTAGGAGCATTCAAAGCCTTCAAAGCAACAGAATCAATAAGTGGACCACAAGCACAGTCCTCCTCCACACCAGGATTATGAATCACAATCTCAATCTCACTCGACTCCGCCAAGAACCCCCACGAATATTCATCCCATCCATCGCTACTATACGTGGTCTGGACCGGCAACATTCCCCAATCATTCCTCTCCGAATTGGGCGATACCGATACGTTTAATTTCTCCTCTTGGGCACAGGTTCGAGCGGCGCTGAATGTGAGTGAATAGAACATTCCGTTGATGACTTTCACTTTCTGCTTTATCGCCGCCTCGTTCCCGAGCCTCACGGCGGAGGTTCCTTCCGGCACTATTAGCAACATGTCTCCTTGTTTTTGACCTGATTTTATGTATTCAACGAAGCCTGAGATTTCCCAATTGGGAATTGCGTTGGGATCTATCACTTTTGTGCCTCGCATTTGCGATGGTTTTGGACCACACTCGAAGTTGCCATTGGGTAACAATCCTGAGAATTAAAACTCATTAGCTATCAAAAATGTGCAGAGACTAACTTTTAAATATATACATATGTTGTGTGAGTGTGTAGTTAGTGTATATATATGTAGAGAGAGAGAGAGAGAGAGAGAGAGAGAGAGAGAGAGAGAGGCTTCAAAAGCACCACAGGAACAAAGGTCACACTGCGTAAAAGGCTTACCGTCAGTGATGGATAACGCAACATGGAAGATAGCACAAAGTAGCACAAACAAAGCACTGAGCCTCTGCATTTTCGAGAGAGAGAGAGAGGTCTTCGAGTCGAAATGACGGGGGTGCAACGGTTTTTATGTGTTTTACATTATGAGAAAGCCCCTATGTATTAAGGAAATTGCAGCAAGTGCCACTCGAAGTTTCTTTTTAATAATGGAGGAATTAGTAAATTAAGCGAGAATATACCGTGATTTGTTCTGTCAAAGTAAACTTATAGTGACTAAATTATCCTTTCTCTTCAGATGCCAGAGAAAACCTAAGGTTAGGTTGAAGACAAAATCGCTTGAACCCACATGGCTTTCGCGACAGGTAGTTGCATGGTCGGTCCAAGGGCATCCTTGTCATTTTGGGGGGCATTTTAGTCACTTTATTCTCATTCTACATTTTTTGTACTCAATTACCAAGAGACAAGAATTTTATTGGGACCTTAAAATCTATCTTTTAGTATTTGAAAAAACGCGAAATTTCATCTGTCTAATATTGGCAGTAAACTCATGAGAATAATTTGGGTAAGCATACTTTATGGTTGCACCGGCTGGCTCACTGGGTATCACTTTTGGCTATGAAATTAGAGATTCGAGACTTGAAGTGTATATTAAAATTTGATGATTGATCGTTATACTAGTTTAAATATATTTATTCCCAGATAAAAATAATGGACGCGGTACAGAATCTCATGATCCCACCAGTCATGATTTATATATGTGATCTTTGAACACTCTTCTTTACTCCCACTCTTTTTTTTTTCAGGAAAAAAAGAAAACTTCATATAAGATTACCCCTCTAGTTTCAAGTTCGATTCTCATGGGAGAATGCTAGTTCCTATAATCGATGTGATTTTGGGGTTAATTACGTTTGAGAACATGGTTGTGACGAATCTCCATTTTATACGTCAACCTATAGTCAGTATAATGACCAAACAATCCGCAGGATTTTAGTATGGGTCAGACACATTGGGCAACATGAACTATATTATAGATTGTTCGGATCTTCCGGTAACGTGATTGGAGTCACAGGAGCTGTTAGCCTCATTAAATATGCATATGTTTAACAATTTTTATCAATAGATTGGGGGACTGAGTGTCAACAGAAGAGTATTATAATCCTCAATCAGAGGATTGGGAAAAGAGGCACACCATGATCTGGTTCTAAGCAACCATGTGCAGCTGAGGACTGTGATTGAGAATGCATTCAAACTTTACCATAATTAAATCCTAAGTAAACAGTTTCCTTCTTTATTGTTTTTCTTTCTTTTTTTTCATGGTAAGGAGTTTTCAAATCAGTTTACGCATATTTTAATTAATCTCCTCCCCAGTTCGATCAAAGATAAGTCATCCACGTCAGAATTAGGTATTAATGAAAGATAAATCCCTCATAACTTGATCTTAAAGGAGTGGTCAAAATTCAAATTCAAGACATGTGGGTTTACAGTCCATCTATGATACCAATTGAGTTATCTAGGATTTTTTTTTTTTTTGGTTGAGAAAAAAAATGAGTGGGGGCAAATGAGAGCGTATAGAGACCATTCCGATAAGCTCTCACTGATGAGACTATAAGGTCCTGACTGCACCCATTATTCCTCTCGAGAACGAACTTGGGCTAACATAGCGATCAATCACTGAACTCTAATGTGAACTCTATAACTCAAATCTCCAACATTAAGATAAAACATTCAATCGATACCTCACTAGATCACCCTATCGGTTGTTAGCTATCTTGGGGTTAGTTTCCTTCTTTCTCTCTTTCTTTTTGTTCTTTTTTAGTCGGCAATTGATGATACCTCAAAATAAATCTCAAACGCCAGCTCAGGATGTCAGCTCAGTCCAGGAGGTTAGATTAGACAAACAGAACCTGAAAGAGTAGAGTTGGAGGTCCCTTCGAGATAAACAAGGGCAATAACAATCAAGGCAACAACTGGAATATCACGAGAGCTTCCTAAAAGCGTTAGGAAGCTATAATCAAGGCACTGAATCTCAACCAATCAAGATCTTCTCTTAGAATTAGGAAGAATCTCACGAAGTAAGGGCAAGAATCTCGGCTAAGATCCCACTGAATAGGGAACAACCCTATAAATACTATGTAATGCCCCCAAGGAGGGGAGGGGAACCCTAGAGGCAAAAAATAGTCATTGTATTCTTGTAATCATCATTATTGAAAGACAAGGAGCAAGAGTTTTCATTAAAGAGTGTATTAGCCAACCTCCCGAATTGGTGAACTACTATTTTTCTACTGTGTTAATTCCCCAACTCCCCGCCAATCCTTAATATCATTCACTCGAGTCTAGTAGCTCAGATCCCAACAATTTCAATATTGTTCCTTTCATTTACTCGTCATCATAAATTTGTATCACATTGAAATACACCATCAGCAATAATTCTATTTAAAAAATATAGAGGCATGTGCGATAACTGAATATACGGGAAATAAGGTGGCAGTTCAAGAAATAAGTGTTTGTGTACCAAGATTCATTTGGTTGGCATATTAAGTTGATTATTAAAAGAGGGAAATAGCCTAAAGTTTGTCTAATTTATAACGTTTGTCTGTTCAAATCAAATACATATTATTTATGAGATCTTATAGTAATACTAGTTATTATTTGTGTCTGAAGACACGGTAATAAAAAATAGTAAACAATAAATATATTTATATTCATATCTAAAATCAAATCACAAACATAGATAAGAGATAAATAAATTTAAACATCAATTTATAGTGAGGGTAAAAGGTAGTTGGCAGCAGTGATAATGGTGATGGTGACGATAGCGGAGGTGGTAGTGGTGGCGGTGATGGTAGTGGTGGCAGCAACAGCGACAACGGCAACGACGATGGTGGTGGCTGTAGCGGTGGTGGCGGTGGTAAAGGTAATAGTGAGACAATTTCAAATGCTATTTTTTTTTAATAGTATTTATAAAAAAAAATTTCTAAAAGAATTTTTAAAAAATCACTCTAAACACACCCTTATCACCTATTTTTTCTATTAAATTTAAAATGTTAATATTAGTCGTTAAATTAATTTTAAAATAAAATTTAAAGCGATTTCAACTGCGACTAGTAAAAGTCATTTTATTTATCTTTTAAAATTTGAATTGTAAGCTACTTTAATATATAAATATGTACATTATAAATGTAAGATTTTAATACTCCCAACTTGTATTATTAGGTTAATTTTAGTATATGGTAAGAGAGTAACAATATCTACTTGAGGATATTGAATGAAATTCATACAAGCTTATGCATACCGTTTAAATTGAAGAGATATGATAACGTGTGATGTAACCAATAAAAAAAATAATGTTATTGAGAGCATAACTGAGAAATAAGATCTGTATAAATTATTCTAAATAATTGTAAAAAGAATGTGTGGAGTTAAATTGAGACAATTCCACCAATCATTTTACTTCTCAAAAATATGACGACTGCACAGTGTTAGGAACCAAAAGAGGTTTGGGCCACGCAGTGGCCATGTATTCAAATTTTCATTTTGCCCCATTTTATTAGTTGCATGTTAAACACTGTCCGGTAAAATTGATGGCAGAGTAACTCAAACTCCAATGTTATGGATAAGTTGTAAATTGAAGTATATTAAGTTTCAATCTTAATAATTTTTTAGGACACGGTTATAAAGATTTTATCATTTATCAATGATATAGACGAAATCCAAGGCATAGGCCTCCATGACCCAGAAGCTTAGCAAGCCCAAAAGGCCGAGACTTGAAAAAAAGACTTAGCATCAATAGTAGGCTTATAATTTAATAATTCAGACCCAGCTCAACCGATGAACAACCCAAAGGTTGAAAGTCTGGTCCAAATGTCAATCTTGGGTTTCTCGTGGGCACCACACATTCTAAGGATTCAGGGACTACTCTTGACACCTACGATAATCTCCGAGCAGAGAAGATGGAGCGCATAGCCACTAGAGATCGTGGTAATAGAGGTGTTGGATAAACAGTAGCAACGGTGGCAGAGGAGGCAACAGGGAGCAGAGGGAAAGACTCAAAGGATCAACACTAAGAGAAGAATAACTGAAAATCCTAGAAAGATCTTAGTATAAATAAAAAACTGTTATCCAATAAGAAGGGATCACCCTCTTCCCTCTCCCAAGCGAACTAAGGAGAGCCAGTAGATGAAGCAAAATACTCACCCCTTATAAGAGACCCCATGTCCCTAATTTCTAGATATACACCTCAGGTCAAAAAATATACAATCTTAAGGAGCAGAAGACCCCCTTGATAGTGGACGTAACTTTAGTCCATCGACTAAAGTGAACCACTTACGTTTTTTCTCTTGTTAATCACTAGCAATCAACTTATAATAATCCATTTAATCCATCTAGAACTTTACCATCTCACCTATTGGGTTTGGGCTGTAAAATCTGAGCACTATCAATCAATACCTTACTCTCGTCGTAAATGGTCTATCGTTGATTAGACGGAAAAANTCAAATCACAAACATAGATAAAAGATAAATAAATTTAAGCATCAATTTATAGTGAGGGTAAAAGGTAGTTGACGGCAGTGATAATGGTGATGGTGATGGTGACGGTAGCGGAGGTGGTAGTGGTGGCAGTGATGGTAGTGGTGGCAGCAACAGCGACAACGACAACGACGATGGTGGTGGCTGTTGCGGCGGCGGTGGTGGTAAAGTTAATAGTGAGACGATTTCAAATGCTATTTTTTTTTAATAGTATTTATAAAAAAAAAATTTCTAAAAGAATTTTTAAAAAATCACTCTAAACACACCCTTATGACCTATTTTTTCTATTAAATTTAAAATGTTAATATTAGTCGTTAAATTAATTTTAAAATAAAATTTAAAGCGATTTCAACTACGACTAGTAAAAGTCATTTTATTTATCTTTTGAAATTTGAATTGTAAGCTACTTTAATATATAAATATGTACATTATAAATGTAAGATTTTAATACTCCCAACTTGTATTATTAGGTTAATTTTAGTATATGGTAAGAGAGTAACAATATCTACTTGAGNATCAATCAATACCTTACTCTCGTCGTAAATGGTCTATCGTTGATTAGACGGAAAAATCATTAGTCGAATTGCGCATTAATTAGTCCAAACACCTCTGATCGTTGAACCAAAAAAAGATGGTAAGTTAATAAAGTAATGTTATTTGGATTCAAAAAATTAACTTAATTTATTGATATAATCATATGATTTCATTGTAACCATTAAATTAATGTCAAGTTTTAATATTTGATGAAATCTACCGTCAATCTAATACTTATAATAAATTGGGTTGATAAATTACGTCTCAATAACATTAGTCAGAGTAATTGCCACCTCGAAGTACATCCCCAATCCACTGCAAGCCATTTCAAATTTTCAATACAAAAATCATGTTTTCCATTAAGATTAGAACATTACATATATAAATGACAGAAACATCTAAATATCGTTCGTCAGTAGATGATTTTCAATATTAAGAGAAGAATTTGAGGGTCTGGTGCTCCTAACTTCTAGCTATCCTCCTCTTTTGGGGGAGTGTAGTGGTCATGCATTTCACAAAAAATGAGCTTTTGTTGTCGTAAGGAAAACACTTCAAGGCCCATTGTGCTGGGCTAGTCATACTGTGGAGCACCGTCCTGGAAGCCCACCTCAAAATTAGATCATTTAGCGTGTTCCTTATTGGGTTTCATCAGCAAAGGTTAGGTCATATTAAGCCCATCTGCGTGGGTACTACACGGCGAAAATGAGCCCATGGCTATGTGAGGAATAAGGGTGAATGACAGTTTCTACCCCAAAAAAAATTAAAATTTTAGATTTATACTTTCAAATATTAATTTTCTTACATTACACCATCAATATTTAGAAAAATGAAAAACCAGCTTACCTGAAAATGGCCTTTTGTGGAGGATTTTTAATTCCTACTTGTTTCGGAGAAGGCTCTTCTCATTTGGATCCATATATAAACATAGATCTATTCATAAAACTAATCGATTCACAGATAATAAAACATGGATCGATACACAGATCATAAATCAAACGTACACATAAAATTAGTGTTCGCAACCACCAAACAATAATGCAGAAAAAGTGAACACAGATCCAAATTTCCAAGTCGACAGATTGATTGCCAAGGAAAAGGACAATAAACTGACCCGTCCTTAACCCACAAATTACCAGATAAAAACCTACCGGACCGGCCAGCAAAAGGGCTTATTAGAACTCCGGCGAAACGAAACGAAACTAAACTCAACGATCGATTGGGTCCGAGACATCGGAAGCGAGCCGAGAAGCGATCGCCGAGTGGTACATAATGTCGTGGAAGGAGTAGGTCTCCAATGTCTTCCTCCGAAGCTCTTTGGCCTTCTCCTCAGTGAAACACCCCCGAGTAAACCGAGATCTGGTCCGTCCTGTTTCGGACTCAGAACGTTTCGCAACGTCTTCGGTGGTGATGGAGTTGTTAATGTAGTCGGGATCGGAGGACCAGCCGAAGAGAGGGGTCCACCAGCTGGAAGATGAGGAAGGCTTTCCACGGGTCGGGTCGGGATTCCGGTGGTTAGAAGAAGCAGAGCAGAGGATTGGGGTGGTACGGAAACATGAAAATGAGGTTGCCATTGATGATGGTGGAGGTTAGAGAAGAGTGTGAGAAGCAGGAGGCGTGGTTTGGCTGTTCGTGGGTAAAGAAGAACTGTTATAGATAAGATTGTCCACGTGGCGAGATAGGGATTTGTTTTTTTAATTACTTTTTCGCTTTTGCTTTTGTTTTTGCTTTTTGAGTATAGTTTACTGAAAACGACGTCAGATCTGAATCTTGCCGTAAGGTCAAACGAGGAAGAGATACTTCTCGGATGGATTTAAGGCATTTCATAGGGCAGAATTCTTATCCTAGTATATATAAACACGTTAGGTTAACACGTTACGGTTTAACATAAATGAGAAATGATGATGCACAAAAATGGTTTTGCACACCACCTGTAAAGTATAGATAATAAATGCAATGAAATCAACGAAGGAATTAAAGAAGACACAATTTATAGTGGTTCGGTCAATTCGACCTNCACGTTACGGTTTAACATAAATGAGAAATAATAAATTTGGTAAAAAAATTGGAATAGTTTTGATAAAAATATTAGAGGTTGTTAAATTAGTTTATTTAAAATTATCGAATAAATTTATTTAAACCTGTCTTGCATCAATTTTTGTGCAACTCAATTAATTATTTATTTAGTCCGATTAAAGATAAGTCATCTACGTTGAGACTAGACTAAAATATTCATGTTTTCTCATGATCTAGTGTCAACGAGTTATTATGATTTAAACTTAAAATTTTTGAATTTATAACTCATTCTTATTATCATTTGTACTATCTTTCGATTCATTCCAGTATAATATGTGCGCATCATACTTGTGGGATAGAGATTGAATTATTCCCTAGTGATTTAAATTCGTTAATTTATATTTTATGAATTTGTGTTTCTATNTCTGTGCGCGTCATACTTGTGGGATAGAGATTGAATTATTCTCTAGTGATTTAAATTCGTTAATTTATATTTTATGAATTTGTGTTTCTATAATAACTATATATATTTTGTACACACAATTAATAAAATTTGTAATATAATTTCAATAAGTTATTCTGGTCAGAATTTTAGAAAAAGGTTTTTGATTTCTAATGAATTTGGATATGGATAAAAAAAAATAGTAGAATAATTGTATCAATTTCGTTATTGGAATTCTAAATTAAATTAATTTTTTTTTTAAAATTCAAATTCAAGTTGGTCAAACTTCAATCAGAAGCCAAGTTTGACCCTAAAAAAAATAAAAAAAAAATCAGAAGCCAAGGTGGGCTCCGTCCTGGCCCAACACCTAATGGGATGGAGACATGCTGCGAATCACGTGCCATGTTTTCCCCTCTTGGGCCAAGGCCTCATACTGTGGGTATTAAAGCGCCTCCGCCTCCCATTGTTCTACTACACATGGTAGTGTCATATACATTACCAACAAAAAATTATAAATGCCAAATTAATAGTTGTCACCAAACATTTAGTCAGAATTTTTTTTTTAACAAGTCTACAAATTTTTTCGTACATAAAATGGAGACCCACATAATTTATCATGGAACATTAACCCTCAGTACTATACAACTATCTATGAGATCCTACCGCACCTACATCAAGGAGAAGCTAAGGTCTCACTGCGTACTTTAGATACTAAAGAATAAGTTTAGGCCCATCAATTTTTCATAATTATAGAGATTTGAACTCAAACATTGAGTGAGAAAATTCGAATGTTTATTCGTTAGACCAACTGCTCAATAGTCAAGCTAACTTGTTTGTTTCGCATGCAGACTATCATTACATGTGCACACAACATGACAGTGTCATATAATGTATTAAATTCATACAAAATTCTCTCCCATTATTCATACTTTGGAATTCAAATCCACCAAGAACTAATTTCTTATGATTTTCTTAAGAGGAGGGATCTCAAATGAAATTCCGAATGCACAAGGACATTTGGAACAGTGACTCTTGTTAACTTTCCGTTAAGTATTACATGCGTAGAAAATTTATATTGGATAAAAAAGAAGTGAAAATATCGTAATATACAATGATAAACTCACCATCAATATGTTTAAGTTTTTTAAGTGGTTATGAATTTCAGACATATACTGTGTATCATTGAACTCTATCTTTCAACACTTNCGCTCTTTCGAATTTTGTTGAAGTAATTGTTGGTTTTTTTTTATGGAGTCTAGTTTGTATATGTGATCCGGATGATGACCTGACCCGAAATAATGTTGTCTGGTTTTTAATGGAAAATTTTTTGAGGCTTAGTCCATGGAGCGAAGGCTTGGGCCGGGCAACGCCCCCGAGGAAAATTTTTCTGGGCCCGTTATACAGCCCAGTGCGTAGGACATATAAACCCTGTTGTTTTGGTGATTAGGGTTAATTGTGGATGTACAANGCGATCCGGATGATGACCCCAACCCTAAATAATGTTGTGTGGTTTTTAATGGAAAATTTTCTGAGGCTTAATCCATGGAGCGAAGGCTTGGGCCGATAGGCCCAAGCCGTAGCGCTCATGGACAAGCCTCGTGGGGGTTCGGGGGCAACGCCCCCGAGGANCTTTCGAATTTTGTTGAAGTAATTGTTGGTTTTTTTTTATGGAGTCTAGTTTGTATATGTGATCCGGATGATGACCTGACCCGAAATAATGTTGTCTGGTTTTTAATGGAAAATTTTTTGAGGCTTAGTCCATGGAGCGAAGGCTTGGGCCGGGCAACGCCCCCGAGGAAAATTTTTCTGGGCCCGTTATACAGCCCAGTGCGTAGGACATATAAACCCTNCTCCAATGCATAGGATATACTAAGTGGTATTCAAATCCCATCATACTTGGTGTGATTTTCTCCTTGTCTTGTGGTTAGTACTTGCATATACCCTGTTTGTGGTACTGAATTTCTCAATGTTACAGTGGAAGGTATTGGTGTTCTAATCATTCTCTTGGAGATTTCTGTACATACACATGGTAACTTGGTTTATGTGTGGATGACTTACCTTTGACCAGACTAATGAGGAGACTAGTCGACATGCGCGTAAGCTGAAGGGTGACTGTTTGAACCAAAAAAAAAAGAGAAGAAAAATAAAGAACCCCAATTTGACATTGATATTAGTTGTGNGCGTAAGCTGAACGGTGACTGTTTGAACCAAAAAAAAAAAGAGAAGAAAAATAAAGAACCCCAATTTGACATTGATATTAGTTGTGTTTCAACATTAGCATCTCAAGTATCAATAATAGATCAACCTTCATGATCTTACACTTGCACATCTTCCTGCTGCCCCACTCTACCATTTCTATGTTCCTCTTCAATTGTGTACTCCATTCTCCTCACATTTACAATAAAATTGAACTGATTTCACCATCCTAAAACGACCCTTTTGTCAAAGCCAAAATGAAAGTCATTATCGTCACCATCCTATTATCCTTGATAAACAGATAATCGAATTCTATCACTCTCTTTGTATAACATCCCCAGGATGAACCTGCAAAAACACCACCCTTAATATCAAGATTTTCATCGAGAACATACACATTTATGCATACCCACAGACAAAATGCATATAAAATCATCAGTATGTAACATCTAATACACCCCATCTAAGACAAAACTACATTATATTTGCTCAGTTATGTAATTAGATGGAATCAGTCAATTTATGTTTTTAGTTCAGAGTGAAAATAGTTCTAATTTTACCTGAAGACCCTTTTCTTCCCTGAAGCTTACTGTTCTGAGCTTCAACTCCCCTCTACTGGTTGTCAGTTCATCTAATATCTCAGCATCACAAATTTCCGGTTGGCCTTCCTCACTTCCAGGATGAAGTGGTTCATCATCCTGATGACAATTTTCACAAGATGTAATGTCAATTGTTTATGATCTAAGGACATAATCAGGCAAACCATGAAGAAGATGAAAAACACATACTTTGAATGAGAGGCTGAGAGAGCGTTGTGGGGCGCCGACAACTTCTTCATATTCAGCTGCATCCAGTTCACGCAGATGATGTTGTTGAAACAGTTTTGGAAGAATATGCTGTCTTATGCTTATGAGAAGGAAGAATGGTACGGGGAAGAGTATCCCGGCTATAGGTATCCATGTCATTCCAAAGCACACCAGAAAATATACAAACTGGAAGAGAGTAAATGTGATGATATATCTGAATGGCACCGACTCCACAAAGGAAGCATGAACCCTTTCGAGGACCCTGACAACATTGTTCCACAGGTTGTTGATCCAATTTTCCGAACATTTTTAGTTTTTTGAACTTTCAACGAAGAAAATTAATTAAAATGTAAGCAAACTTACTTGTAGTGCCGGCCAGGTGCAATGAAGAGAAGCAGTATCCTTTCCCAGAACTGGTTTCCAGGAAGGCTGTCAATGGCCATGTAGGCAAAATATCCCCAGAGAACTGATGTTGGTATCTTTTTTATCACAGGCATAGCGCATACTGATGCAGCTACAAGGAGTGATTGCAACAGGTTGCTCAATCTTTGTTCGTTAACTCGTACAGGCAAGTAGGCATCAATGTGTATCTCAGGATCAAAGGAGCCCTTTGTATTTTCTTCATTGTTTTCGCCTTGCATAACTGCCACCTTCAAATCTTCTAGCTCTTTAACTACTGATGTAGTCTGCAACAATTCATAGAATCATTCCAATATAACATGTTGATCAGATTAGGAAATAGAAATATTCTCATGCTCAAAACAAGAAATATGCAACAGGAGATAATAATTAGTCTGCTATTGTAATCTATGCATAGAGGGTACTAGACCCAATTAGTTGATTCGATGCTATTGAAGGGATGGTCAGTAGGCAATGAGTTGTAGTGAATAATGGCCGTACAGTTGAAGATTTGTCAATTTCTACGAACACAGATTGCATCTTGCCATAGATTTCTGAGTTGCTAGCTTGCTGCTTTATGCTTTCCTTGGCACTATGCACCATCTTCTTTCGAATGAACTGGACATTATGAAGTAGATTGTTTGAGCAGCCAAACCAATTCAATTACCAACAGTTCAAAGAAAAATTCCACAACTATTTTCAATACTTACCTGCCTTTTGAGAACTGCTAAGCTCTTTGTATGCATGGGGGACTGTGGCAGTACTCCATTTGAAGGCGGTAATCCAACCAATCCGCAGAGCAAAGTCTGAAAACATGCATATCAATATTTAACATTATATTTAATAATTATAGGTGGCAATAAAGGCTAAATGTACAAGAAGCTAGTTATTGATACCATAAATCCCAGCAACAAGATATCATAGTGGTAGGCAGGAGGGTTTTTGAGATTGAACTCCTTTTGTTGTGCCATCTGAGAAGCAACACTATGATCGAAGAAGTAAAGTCCTGCTATCATTACAGCCGGGATGAAGGCAGCAAAGATGTACACTGGAGGAACCTTTCCCATATCCTGCAGTTTTGTGTATAAAGCAGTCTAAGCCCCCATTTTGGAAGTAAATTATTCCTGAACTTGTGAGGGGTGCATCAAGATGTGTTTTCAGAGCCTACTATGACCCACACAGAGATGAGTTTGCTATCAAGATGTGATTTTTTGTCATGGATTGATGTTGATTGTTGGCATTCTTTTTCAGTTGAAACATTTTTCTCTGAAGATTCAAGCCGTGGTTCCAAAAAATTATAAGGAGCCACCTGGTTTTCTGTGTCAACAGACTTATCACTGGTGTAGAAGCAGAGAAGCTCTGCTAAAGAAAGTTGCAATTCACAGTATGTCATACCTTGATTACAGTCCAATGATTTAACGATGCAGATTCCCAAGGAAGAGGACTAAAGAGTCGTCTGGGAACCCCGGATGGAACTTTACTTGGCACGCTGAATGATAATAATGCCCACATTAAGACCATCAAAGGAACCCCATAGTCTGCAACGAAACTTCGCAGCCAACCTATTGAACACAGTAACAAAATTTTGAGATTTCTTTCATGCAACTGTAATTATCATAATAAAGTCATTGATATTTGCTTTACATGCCTGTGCCATACCACCATGATCTTGCCCTTCTGCTCCTTAGTGCAGTATAGAGGAGGCCAAATGAAAATATGATTCCCAGTAAACCGTTTGTGTAAAGCCACTGGAATTGATACTTGTCTGATTTGGGGTCCTCAGCTTTCGGAATTCTGAACTCACTTATCACTCCCTAAGCAACAGAATCCACCAGATATTTAAGCGCTCTTTCACCAGATGTAGATAATCTATATCTTTTTGTATTCGATACCGTCCATACCTTGATAGCCTCTTGAATGAAAAGAACAGCAATCAACATGCCAAAAGTCTCTCCGGCAATCCTGGTGAATCTACTGATAATGTTGCAAGCATTGAATATTGCAAGGAGAAACAACAAGAGAGCTGTCCAAACACAAACCCTGCCAGAGGTTTTCTCAACAATATCAAAGATCATGCCAGCAACCTCCGAGAAATTCAAATACAAGAAATTTGAAAGAAACACGATCTTATTACCATCCAGACCAAGCCAAGAACAGCGCTTGCCCCAAATCTTCTCTCCCTTTGGCAAATTTGTACAAATAGGTGTACATTATAATTGTAGGTTCTGCAACTCCTACTATGAGAAGAGGTTGTCCACCAAGTATGGAGTGTATGATACCACATATAGCAGTAGAAGCTAATGCCTCAACTGTGCTTAAGCTTCCATCTACATACCAGGGGAAAAAAATGCTCAAACCCTCCCGTTATAAGATCGTTATCGAAAAAATGCATCCTAATGCATGAGACTCCCGTGAAATCATTATCCCATTGATACAAAAACTAGGACAATGTCTCCATTTAGCTGCCTCTAAGAATCCAAAAATTTCTTATATAATTTCCTCCATTTTCTCCGAAAACGAAAGAAAATTGTGGTTTAGGNATGAGACTCCCGTGAAATCATTATCCCATTGATACAAAAACTAGGACAATGTCTCCATTTAGCTGCCTCTAGGAATCCAAAATTTTCTTATATAATTTCCTCCATTTTCTCCGAAAACGAAAGAAAATTGTGGTTTAGGATTTCAGGCTTTCTTATAAGTAATGAATAGGAGTGGCCTACCTGTATCTCTGCTAAGTTGCTCTCCAAAGGCAATGACAGGAAGTGCAGAGGCAAAGAAGATGTATGTAGTTGGAGCCAATATCCTTGGTCAAATCAAAAAACATTTTAGTTTGGATTTGGAAAATGCCATGATTGATGATACAATTGATTGCAAAAAAAATGATCAATCATCAATCAAGAAAGTACCCAAATCCTGAACGAATTCCGACAACCCAATCTTGCTTATAACACGATAGTCGACCTCGGACGTCCTCTGCAACGCCCTTCAGTGGAGCTTTCAAGTTTTCCATTTCTGATACAAGAAACTCAAACAATCAGATACATCTTTCGAAAACTCTATATTGGTTTGGAAAATCTTCAATTAGTCCTATAAAACTTCCTGGGAGATATTCCCACAAAAATTTACTTCTGCTTAGAATAATAAGAAAAGCAAAATTCAAACACTTGTAACATGTATTTACATACACACAGAGACCCTGCAGTTGAAGATTGAGCAGTTACGTAGAGATTTATAAACACAGAGAGAGAGAGAGAGAGAGAGAGAGAGAGAGAGAGAGAGAGAGAGAGAGAGAGAGACTGCAGTTGAATATTAAGCAGTTAAGGAGAGATTTATAAACACACACACACACAAGTAGAGAAAGAGAGATGACATGAATCCAAAGGTCCAAGGAAGGAAAAGATTGAAAGCAAGAAAGNACTGCAGTTGAACATTAAGCAGTTAAGTAGAGATTTATAAACACACACACACACAAGTAGAGAGAGAGAGAGAGATGACATGAATCCAAAGGTCCAAGGAAGGAAAAGATTGAAAGCAAGAAAGAAGACAGAAGGGCAGTAATTAGAGATGTGGAAAGTGAAGAGACAATCAAATCTTATTGTATCATGGATTCTTGAAAGCCANAGAAGACAGAAGGGCAGTAATTAGAGATGTGGAAAGTGAAGAGACAATCAAATCTTATTGTATCATGGATTCTTGAAAGCCATTTAATGTCAATGACAAAAGTATCAAGAAAAATAGCCTTCCAAGAAAGACATCCTCTCCAAAACTCATTCATCCATGCATGTCGTCAATCGTCAGGCAAAAAAACTCATTTTTATTCAATTCCAACCAAGAAAAACATCACTCTCAACACCTTCATGCGTGATCTAGTTCTGGGTTTATCCAGGATGAGAGGAATAGTAACCTTTGAAATCAAACCGTAGTTTCTTTCAGTTTCCCAGGAAATTTTTTTGAACACCTTTGTTGTTGGGTTTGGTTCACTATGAAGAAGCTCTGTTTGAAGTTGTAAATGGAAGAGGCAAATATCCTCTACCTAAAAACACCCGCGCAAGTCCAAATGGTCCCCACTTTACAAAAAAAAAATTTGAATTTTTATGTTTCAAACTTTAGTCAAAGCATACTAAAACAATTCCGAACATTACGAAACACCTTAAACTTTTGGTGGAAATGGAATGAAATTTAGTTTCATGTAATACAACTTCTAGAGATTAGGTCTATCAATAAATAGGATTTCGGTTCATCCAAATTTTAAGACTGATTTAGAATGTTCTATCTATTTGAATCTTGTCGCAAATATCAACGAATTGGATGTTCATAATTCACACCCGAGTCCACTAACAATCGTAAATCTGATCCAAAAACTTGATACCATTAGATTAACTCAATCACAATGCATTTGAGAAAAATTACATAAGAAATTCAAACCCAACTCATCAAGCAAACCCTCAATTCCATGATCTTTATGCAAATATAATTCTAACACAGATCAAATNAAATTACATAAGAAATTCAAACCCAACTCATCAAGCAAACCCTCAATTCCATGATCTTTATGCAAATATAATTCTAACACAGATCAAATCACATCACATCACAATTTAATTGGGTTTTGATATATCTATGTTCGAATTTATGAGATTCGATATAATAGATCAGTATTGATGATACTTAGAGCAATTCCCAAGTATGAGCTCGGGAGCGGAGGTCAGACGCACAGAGTTCATAAAACCAGAGTAAAGCCCAGCTCAATCGAAGCAGCAACGGAAGTAATAAAGAGATAGCTATTTGTCAACAGAAACTCTAGAGGCAGCAAAGAGTCATAATCGAAGCAAAAACTCTCATCCAGGAAAGATCTCCTCCTAAGATCAAGGAGGATTCCTCGGATAAATGACGAAGATCTCGAGGCAGATCCCCGTAGAATTAGGAAAAGTCCTATAAATACTATGTAACGCCCCCAACAGAGAGGCAGAATCCTAATATCACATCTGATATTCTGTAAACTTTTTGGTATATAAATAGTGAAGGAAGGAGCAAGAATCTCCATTGAAAAGTGGATTAGCCGAGCTCCCGAACTGGTGAACCACTATATTTCTACTGTGTTAATTCTCCAACTCCCCAACAATTTTCAGGATCATTCCCTCGAGTCTAGTAGCTCAGATCCCAATAATTCTAATATTGTTTCTTTCATTTACTCGTTATTACAAAATTGCATCACGTTGAAATACACCATCAAGTATTAAAGCCGAAGTCAAAATATTAATTCACATCCAATTAAACGGATTTAAATATTGATTAATTCCGACATATTGAGAAGGATAACAGGGAGGACAGCTCCCTGGTTTAAGCATAGGACAGCAGTTAGTGAGTAGTTATGTCTTCTTCAAACTTACATGTAAGAGAACCTAAACAACAATTCTATTTGAGTAAGGCACGTCTCTTACATACACATGGTATGAGAATTTTCCTCCCCAGTAGTGGGAAACTGAAATTAATTTGACTAACTACTTGGCTCGTGAGGAATGACTATTACCCTTAGGACACATTGAAAATTCAAAACATAAAGTCTTGTTTGGGCATAGAATCCAGTTTACATCCAAGTTCGGAGGGGTGAGATCTCCTCCAATATTTTTTATGTCAATTCCTTTTTTTAATGGATCACGTATCATTCATTTGAGTAGGTTTTATTGCATACAAATAGATTTTTTTGAGTCGTTAATGATAGATAATCCTCCAAGAAAAATATATTCTTCCCCTAAAAGTGCATCGAAAAATAATACATTTATTCTCTNAGTACTATTTAAATGACATACTTAATACACGAGGTCTGAAGAATATTAGGTATACGTAATTTATCACAGTTTCATGTGTGATGCTTCACACTTGTACAGAACTTTTATTTTATATTTAAATTCAACTGCCACCCGTGTTTTCTGTCAATTGTTAATTGTTCATTATTCATCATGTGTAACATAGACGTTAGTATTGTTGTAAATTACACCTTTGGCAACTCTCAAGTAACGAGAGATGATGCAAGGAGGACACCATGGACTAAAAAAGCTCAATGGGTATGATTATGAAAATAACATCTTAGACGAAAATGAAATACAAGAAGGAAAAAGTAACAAAACTCTGTCACAATCCGAAGGTTTATGCTCTTCTTTAGATTTTTTCGTTTTTGGAATAATTTTTCTCCAAGTCGTTTTCAGACACTTTGAATTCTCCTCTTATATTTCCCCGGCAGACATGGCACTAGTAACTCAATGGTAGATGGCCAAATAGTCTAAGAGCTTAGCAGATCACACAACCCACATGGTTGGTTGATTAAGTGGTCAAATAATAAATGAGATGTAAATTTGTTTATTCAAGAGTCTGAATCGGTTTAAAATCTGAGTTTAATTAATGTGCGTGATTTATAGGTGATTACATGTATTTGAGACTTGAATGCACATGTGGTTGAGACCATCGTGTTACTTGAGAAGAAAAGAAAGAAAAGAAGAGGATATACCAATGACATAGACTATGTGGTTGCATATCCTTGGAAGAACGAATGAAGTAACCACAATCAAAGATGTTGTGTGTGCGTGCAGGATCTTGCACAATATAAACACGAGAACAGATCTCTTCCGTAGTGAACTCGAGTTAGTCAATCGAATGGTCAATCCTACTACTTGGAACACTGTGAGGTCCGGTGGTGGCGTAAAACGGTAATGGATGACTCTCGTGGATCAACAGAGCGATCCAGTGAGGCTGAGGGGGGTTCCTGGAACAGAAAAAAATGAGTTAAGAGGGCGCCGAAATGTTTTTTGGCATATCCCCTCTGACGATCAAGTCAGTTCTTTGAGAGAGGGGAAGAAGAAAACAATGTATTTGTTTGAGAAAATGTTCTTTTTTGCATACCGTCTTGTCTTTTTGTGAGGAGTATTTATACCTCAAAAACTCATGATTGCTGTCAGTGTGGTGAGTAAGTGATCATTAGATACGGGCAACGTGCGTATTGATACCTATGAGAAATGTCTTCTCTCTTAACTGCTCGGGACCCCGAGCAACCAATGCTTCGTCATCGGCCTGCCGAATGTTTAATGAGTTTCTCTCGGCAAGAATGTAATAAATGCCCAGTCATAGGGACATTTATTACTTTTCACTTCTAAGTCTTACTGCATTAAATGATGTCTCATCAGGGGAATGGTGCACTAAATACTTGTTTTCCCAAGTCGTGTGTCTGCAAGGGCATCTAGGTCTTTTTGTCTCTGATCTGACACAATATGTCACGCGCCCATTCTCCATTGGTTGTGTCTTCTGCCTTCTTGTGCCTTCTGACACCAATTGTGTAAGACGAGGTCATGATGGCTAACCTAGTCCAGCCTAGGCTAGTGACCTGTACATCAATAACTTCTGCAGGAGCAGAGAATGTTATCCTGGACGGGTACATCTTGGTACCGAGGGAGTGGTACATGTAGGGACCGATGTACCCCATATCCGACCGAGGGATACGTGTCGGTACGTAATGTACTGGTTGTCATTGATCCCTATGAACAATACCTCGGGGGAAGAGGGACTTATGAACCGACGGGTACGTGTCGTGATTACGGCAACAAGAATTTACTGATGCCGAGAACACGTGTCTTCATCTTGGAGTATTTGGAAATGTCTCATCAATCAAGTGACTAGTGAGTACCTCCTCCATAGGAAGTGTTCACTTATATGGCGGGGGGAGACGACTCCTACCCGATGAGGGATGGAGGTAAAGGCTACTGTATTGCCTTAGGAAAGGGTGCAGACCAGCCAAAATCGTCTCCCCCCTGCCATATAAGTGAACACTTCCTATGGAGGAGGTACCCACTAGCACTTGATCAAATGGCTAGTGGGTATCTCCTCCATAGGAAGTGTTCACTTATATGGCAGGGGGGAGACGACTCCTACCCAATGTAGGATGGAGGTAAAGGCTACTGTATTGCCTTAGAAAAGAGTGCAGGCCAACCAGAATCCTTGGTGTTCAGGGATGAGATCCAAACGCGCGATTTCTACCCCTAACACTGTGCAAAGGCGGTGATGAATTTGTAAGTCAAGAAAAATAGGTCGAAATGGAAGTACCAAGGACTTCGTTTTCGTTCTTTGAAACATATTGCACAATGTGACAGTTTTGGCCATGACTCTTGAGGGGGGAAAGAGACTTGATCAAATTGCAGGACGATCCTCGGGTCCAGGAGGCGGCTGGACTTTCACCGGCCTCTTGTTGGTGGGAATGTTGAAGATAACATCTGCTGGCAACAGATTGTATGTAATGTACATTTGGGTGAACCATATGGCATACTGCTTAGGAAGATGCTGCACAATCAACCTTCACTACATTGAACCTGTACAGATTCACTTCTCACTCTCTCTCAATAATTTCACCAAACCCCACGGAATCAATGTTTTTTGTGTGTGACCTCCCTGATTCTAGGTGGATTCCTCGTTCAAAGTATTGAGTCTATCATGACAAGTACGACCATAATCAATGTTGTTTTTTGCGTGTGACCCCCTTGATTCTGGGTGGTTTCCTCGTTCAAGCAATACTAGGTATTGAGTCTAGCACGACAAGTACGACCTCCGTTTCTCCTCAAACTTCATCATTCAGCATGCAGTTATTCTTTTCATATTTGCACCCAATATTATCAACCTGGCAATCCATACTCAGCACAGTATCCCCATGTGCGGCCCGTGAGCATACGACAGATATATCATACAATTTACCTCAAGACCAAAAGTAGCTGAAATTACGGGATAACAGTACAACTTGCAAGTATCAATTTCAAATGCAAAGTGGACACCGAAAACCAAGTATATTGTTCCAGCTTCCAGTTAAACATATGATTGAAAAGTTATTACATTCACCATTCATCCATTTTCAGCAGGGAAAAAAGCTGCCAGTAAGGAAAACTACTTCCAGAGCTTTCTCAAAGACATGTTTTTCTCTGTCTCTTTCTTCANAACATCCATCCATTTTCAGCAGGGAAAAAAGCAGCCAGTAAGGAAAACTACTTCCAGAGCTTTCTCAAAGACATGTTTTTCTCTGTCTCNACCATTCATCCATTTTCAGCAGGGAAAAAAGCTGCCAGTAAGGAAAACTACTTCCAGAGCTTTCTCAAAGACATGTTTTTCTCTGTCTCTTTCTTCATCACTTTTGCCACTGCCATCTCAAAATCTTCCTGGGTAACATGAACCCTCCTCTCCCTTAAGGCAAACATGCCCGCTTCAGTGCACACAGCCTGCAAAAAGGACAAATCATCAAGGTTTCAAGTACAGAGATCTACGTGCAACACAAGTTATGGTGCCACACCAATAAAATGTTAACTCTCATGAAAGGATCCCACCCTTCCGTATAATGATTGAGTACGCCAGGTCAGATCATATGCGATATATCCCGACAAGACTAACACATACAGAAGAACTACTACAGCAAGTCCATTCATTCCACAATGAAGGGTGTATTCAAATATAAAAATTTCTTTTCATCAGAGGCATGGTTTAAGTTTTCACACAATCTCTTCCCTCCATATACAGTTTGGAAGGGCAAGGAAGAGAAGTGGTTGGCACAGACACGGAATGTTAGAATGTCATTACCTGCCAATTCAAACAAATCTCACTATTTCACATCAAACAACCAACTATAAACATATGGATTACAATTAGTTGCTTTCGTATTAAATAAAGCAATAAGTGAGAGAAACTCGCCTTGAGTTCCGCACCAGATGCACCATTCATTTTCTCAGCAATTTTCTTCAGATCAATGCCCCGCATCAAATTCATTTTCCTTGAGTGAATCTTCAAGATATCCAAACGAGACTGAAAGTAATGTTGAACATAAGAACCAGCAAAAAATAATTCACATCTAAAAAATATTCGCATCAGATTACACGATCCTTTCAAATACTGTAAAAAGTCCAAAACAATTTTTCTAACCTTGGCCGTCAAGAACATAATCTGTTCAATGTTACTACATTGCATTTCTTAGAGATAAGTATAATAGGAAATATCAAAACTGGGGAAAGGACAAAAATGTTTCAAGTGGATGCATTCACATAATTAATGCTGAATTAAAATGTACATAAAACCATTAAATTACAGAAGAGTTATCGCATCAATTTATCGGACATTGGCACCTAAGGATGGCCAATTGCCAAAATGTGACATACCTCTTCATTGGGATTTGGAAACTCAATTTTTCTGTCGATTCTTCCAGGTCTCAGGAGTGCTTGATCCAGAATGTCTATACGATTTGTAGCCATTAAAACCTGAGTAGATCAGTTGCATGCATAAGATTATCTATCCACCTCTGATGATTTATGAATTATTTCCCCAATTCACAAAAAACAAGATAATCATAACCACAACAAAATAATAACCAGTTCGAGAAGACAAAAATAATTAGAAAAATANTTCACCTCTGATGATTTATGAATTATTTCCCCAATTCACAAAAAACAAGATAACCATAACCACAACAAAATAATAACCAGTTCGAGAAGACAAAAATAATTAGAAAAATACTTTTATTTTGTTGGATGCTTCAAAGCCATCCAACTGATTCAGAAGCTCCAGCATAGTCCGCTGTACTTCACTATCACCATTACCAGACCCTGATTCCATGCGAGCAGATCCGATACTATCAATTTCATCCATAAAGATGATTGATGGAGCATGCTCCCTGTTAAGTAACAAAATAGACAAATCCATAAGAAAATATATGGGGGGCATGTAAACTTCAAATCAAAAACCCATTCACCAATCCAGAAGATCACATTAAATTAAAATACCATTCACAATGAAAGCATGTACACAAGTAAAGAGCCAACACCAAGATTCAAGGATAATAAAAGATGTTGCTTAAAGACACTGAACGAACCTGGCCATCACAAAAAGTTCTCTAACCATCCTAGATCCTTCACCAATGTATTTCTGAACTAATTCGGAACCAGATACCCTGATGAAGGTGCAGTCAGTGTGATGGGCCACTGCTCTTGCAAGCAGTGTTTTCCCAGTGCCAGGTGGTCCATAGAGCAACACTCCCTGAATTCATGAAGTAGAGAGATTAGCAAAGCTTCAGGAAGGTAAACACATAAAACTCTTAAAACCAGTAATTACCTTTGGTTGAGCTATTCCAAGACTCTCAAACAACTCAGGATGTTTGATCGGAAGTTCTATGACCTATAAAAAGTAAGACAACAAAAAAAAGCAATGGAATGAAAATTGTAACATATTCAACAAATATAAATAATAGGAACTAAAAAATAGGGTCCTTGTACAATTTTAAGTTGAAAATAATCAAATAGGATAATTTCTGTGATTATGAAGAAAAACAACCAATATTGATCTGAGGTGAGACACACCTCCTTTATCTCTTTGATTTGCTGGTCAAGACCACCAATCATGTCATAGGTCGAATCAGGAACTTTCTCAACTTTCATAAGGTTCACAAGGGGATCGACTTTGCTAGGCAATACCAAATGAAGCACATAGCTATCATTACGTAAAGCAACTCGTGTTGATGGAGTGATCTTTGTAATATCAATACTCTTGTCAATATCCACCACATACTTCCCTTCAGGATGAACCTAAATGGAAGAAAGCTCAAAAATATTAAAAAAGAGAATTTTATAACTACCAACACAGGAAAATCAACTTTGCAATTAGGTTATGAACGATGATAATAACATATGATGAAAACAACAACATTGAAAGTTAAACAAAATAAGAACCTCGTNATAAAAGAGAATTTTATAACTACCAACACAGGAAAATCAACTTTGCAATTAGGTTATGAACGATGGTAATAACATATGATGAAAACAACAACATTGAAAGTTAAACAAAATAAGAACCTCGTCCGTGCAAAAGCAAATCATTTCAAAAAACAATTTTTTGCTATGAAATAATTACAAGCAAGAAAAGACAAGAGCTTTAACATATTATACAAGTGATACCATAAGATTCATGATCTTAATAGGCACACTGACACAAACACATATATTGTAGACCCAACAAAGAGATCATGCATACATCCACAAACAATCAACCTCCCAAAGTCCTGCTATGGCTAATATATATTACATCTCTACAGTTGGGGTGTACCAAAGATGTCCAACACTTTGTGGGGCAATGAATTCGCCATTCAAAAGCTATGGGCTAAGTTTGCATTTTTTGAGTCTCCTTTCATTGTCTTTTGACATGTTCAAAGAGAATCCATATCATCAAATTTTGATGGGTTGAGGGACATGGAAACTAAATGGATCCCTTTACTTAGTGTGCAATATATACTTGAACTTGTACTTCTTGGGGATTGTACCATGAATTGGCATTAAATAGCAATGCAACAGTGCTTGCACCAGGGACCTGGTAATATCAAGAGTCAAAGACCCACCATGCCAATCAGTTGCCTTGGGAGATGGTTCAAATAATTGGACTCCTTTATTTCAATTTTAGGACACAGCAGTCAATTTATCACAACAAAAAGAAAAGCATAGAATAAAAAAATTAAAATGATAAGCAGCATTCTTCAACTCTGAGAACCACAAATATACGTACAATGTGCAAGCCCACAAAATGCTCAGCATCAATAACATAGGCATTCTTTTGAAGGGACTAGGGAGGGTAGGGGTACTCAAAAAATATATAACATAGATAAATATACAACGCTGGGGAAAAATGGGCAGATCCCACTGACCTTCACTAAGACCTTTGATTTCCCCATGACTTTGACGACTTCACCAACATATGACCCAGGCTCCTGAAGAAGCTGCAGCTCTTCTTTAAGCATCCTCACTGTTAGGTTAAACACATGCAAAACATTATTAGGCAAAGAGGAACATAATTAGATTCCAAAAGAAAGTCAACCAATAAAACCCAGATAGCAATCTATAACAAAGGATTCTCTCATATAACTACGACAACAGTGTCTATCGAACATAGTTGTAGTAAAAATGAGACATTAAACCATAGATTTTTAACGTAGATATGCAATGCTGCGTTATTTAGGCGTGAATAACAAATAAAAGACCACTGAGATTACATTTGTAAAGAAATATGAAGTTATACACGCCAGATACCCTTTCTTCCCAATATAAAGTCAAATGTTTCTGTAAAAATTGGTATATATAATGGAAGGAGAATAGAAAAACAGTCAAACTCCACTGATTTGGCCCAAGGAAATATGAATATATAAATTAAATTGATNCAATCTAGCCAGATACCCTTTCTTCCCAATATAAAGTCAAATGTTTCTGTAAAAATTGGTATATATAATGGAAGGAGAATAGAAAAACAGTCAAACTCCACTGATTTGGCCCAAGGAAATATGAATATATAAATTAANTATATAATGGAAGGAGAATAGAAAAACAGTCAAACTCCACTGATTTGGCCCAAGGAAATATGAATATATAAATTAAATTGATCCTAAAGAAAAGAATACAGCGAAATTCAATAAGCAAACTAATAGCACAAAAAAAAATTCCCAAATCAGAGGCAGTTTCCAATACAATTACTTCCAATTCAAGGACGAAATTAAAACCCTAAATATCCAACTTTGAAAAGAAAAACAAGACGAAATCAATCGTTACATAGATCCAACAAAACATATGCGAAATTAGGGTTCGTGAGGCGTGTATACGATAGTTACCTCGGGAATTGAGATCGTTACGCTGAGCTTCGAGTCGCTGGAGATTGTGGGTTTTCTGGCGGACTTGGAGCTGAAGATCGTGGATGTGTTGGAGATAGTACTGCCTTAGCCCTTCTCCACCGCCTTGTTGTTGTTGTTGATGCTTCATCGGGCTCTTCGCCTCCTCCGCTTGCCTGATCTCTATCGCCACCGTCGCCATTATAAGCCCAACGAACTGTAAACTGAGTCCTCTTTCTTCCTCAATTGATTTGATACTCAGATATATGTGGGAGAAGAAGCTTTCTTTTGGATCAAGTTATCACTTCTATTCTCCGGTTCTCCCCTTTTTGGTCTGTCCTCTCAGTCGCCGCCTACCCCTGTGTGGTGTGGCCCTTTTAACTTTCCTCTTAAAATTGTATATTTTGTAAATATGTTTTTAAATTAAAGGGTGAATTAGTATTGTTGGCGAATTATAATTTATACCCGAAAGATTTCACGAATTGTAATATAAGGGCCTTTTTAGTTTGCGTCTCAAAAAATATTATTCGAAAATAATTTTTGAAAAGAGTTTTAAGAAAATGGTTTTGATATTTTTTGAGATAAAAATCTTGTTTGGTTAGATGATTTCAAAAATAATTTTATAATACAAAAAATAGTAAAACCTTTTTGAACTGCTTAAATATATATTTAAACAGTAACTCAAACATTATTAAAAAAATATAAAAAATTTATTTTTAGATTGAAAAATTCATAAAAAAAAAATCAATAAGCCAAACTTTAATATATACATAGATTCCCATATATATAAAACTAAATAAATAAATATATCTATATATATTTATACGTATTTATATATATACATGTATATATATATACACGTATATATATATATATATTTATATGAATACTATAAATATATATATATATATGTGGGTATATATATATAATTATATACATATACAAATTTGTATATATACATATAAATAAATATTCGTATGTATATATATATTGTTCTCCTTGTGTTCCAAAATTTAAAAAAAAAACTCTAAAAATAATTACACTTGCTTTCTGTTTCTTTTACTCAAATCTCATTTTTTTCTCAAATATTTAGAAAACAAAAATGATAAACAACAGGTTTTGGTTTTTTTTGAAATTTTGAGAATATAAAATTGTTTTCGATATGATAATCAAACATGGAGTTTTCCTTATTTTTAGAGTTTTGAAAATAAAAAACTGTTTTTAAAAAACAAACCAAACATGCCCATAGTTTTTCTGTTAATTTTTTCATTAGTGTCGATGAATTGAATTTAAAAGAAATAATAATAAAAGTTAGCGGAAGAGTCATATTGCAACAATTTTAATAAATTAATAGTATAATATAAAAAATTTAATTTTGATGGTATAAATTGAGAAACTTGAATTTTTTTAAGGTACAAAGTGCAAAAAATCCTAATATTTTTGTATTTTAAAAGATTTTTAAATTAAAAATTATACTATCTACCATATAAAAACATAACAACGTGATCTAAAACATAACAACAAAGAAAAACAAAATAACTTAATTGACACAATTAAAAAGTTCATTGACTTAATTGATACAAAAAAAAAATAAAAAAAATAAGGGATTTAAGTAACACAAAAATCATAATTTGAGAATCATATATATAATTTACTCTAAAAAAATACTTTATTTTTGAAACTTATCCCCCAGTATCTTCTACATAGTGGGTACATGCCAAGTATTAAAGAATATAATACTTGAATAGTAAGAAAAAAAAATTTAAAACAAATTGAGCGCCTTTTGTACCTAGTTTATAAGGTATTAACATTAATCTCCTATCTGACGATATTTTGTAATACTAAATATAAAATATTGATTGGGCACCAATTATATTTTAAATTATAATTATAATTTTTTAATTACATAATTTAAAATTAAAGTAGATAGAGAAAAAATAATTTTATCAATAATTTAAAATTATAGTAGATAGAGAAAAGATAATTTTATTAATGAGTCTTTGGTCCAATGGTACTGCTTACCTTGTAAATACTTGAAAAAATTGTGAAAAAGTATATCATTTTATACTTATTTGTGTAAAAGTACCTCAATAAAAAATATATACATATAAGTACTTTTGTGTGTAAATGTTTAGTGAAGAGATATACTTTTGTTGAATTGTAATTTTTGCTCATACGAAAATTGTCATTTTCTTCTATTAATGGGAGACAAATATGACAGTTATATTAGGAATTCAGTTTCCTAAATTTGTAGAACAACATTTTTGAATTTTAAATTATACTTTTCTCTTTCATTCAACTTAAGTTATTCAAACATTCATGTTTTTTCTTTATTTGTATAATTTGTTTTTTTTTTTTTTATAAATCGTAATAACCAAGTTGATGGTTCTGATTCGAATGATGATTTGTTGTCTCGCACGACAATGTCACAGTGCTACGAGACAATGTCACACTGCTACAATATCGTCCATATGTTNTGATTTGTTGTCTCGCACAACAATGTCACAGTGCTACGAGACAATGTCACACTGCTACAATATCGTCCATATGTTTTTTTTTTTTTTTAAATCGTTACGGTCTCTTAACGTCAATCATGTTTATGTGAGAATGAATGTCAATGATGATGACTCAAATGAGGATGATCGTAATAATCAAAATGATATTTCTGATTTGGAAGATGATTTGTTGCCTCGCACGATAATGTTACAGTGCTACAAGATAATATCACACTGGTACTAGAAAATGTCACACTATTACAAACTAAATTCACACTGCTAAAAACCAATGTCACACTATCGCAAATCAATGTCACATTGCATATATTGCCATGACGCATATAACAATGTATATGGCCTCTTTGATTTTTTTTCTGTCAAATGATCAAACACTTGGTGTGCATGTAGTACCAAACACTAGAAGTAGAAAGATAATTCAAGGAAAAAAAAAGTAGATAAAATAAAAGAAANCTTCTTTGATTTTTTTTTTGTCAAATGATCAAACACTTGGTGTGCATGTAGTACCAAACACTAGAAGTAGAAAGATAATTCAAGGAAAAAAAAGTAGATAAAATAAAAGAAACAACATTTTTTTTGAATTATCAACTTTTTTTCTAAAAAATTCAATAACTCTCATATTTCTCCATCCTTCTGCTACAATCACTCTTATTTNCCTCTTTGATTTTTTTTCTGTCAAATGATCAAACACTTGGTGTGCATGTAGTACCAAACACTAGAAGTAGAAAGATAATTCAAGGAAAAAAAAAGTAGATAAAATAAAAGAAACAACATTTTTTTTGAATTATCAACTTTTTTTCCAAAAAATTCAATAACTCTCATATTTCTCCATCCTTCTGCTACAATCACTCTTATTTGCAGAAAACCATTATTAATTTCTTGTACTTTCACTCCATTCCTATCAAAACCCATCAAGAGAAAAAATTATCTCCATCCCAAAATCCTCAAAACCATAACAAAACCCTCTCCTAAACCCCTCCCCTAGTCACCCCTCAGCAAACCCAATTAATCCTAGTGAAACCCCACCTAAATAAAGTCCTAAGTTTCCCTTCGACCAATTCTCTAGTGAAGAGTTAAAAGTGCCAAAAACTCACGACTTTNACCCATCAAGAGAAAAAATTATCTCCATCCCAAAATCCTCAAAACCATAACAAAACTCTCTCCTAAACCCCTCCCCTAGTCACCCCTCAGCAAACCCAATTAATCCTAGTGAAACCCCACCTAAATAAAGTCCTAAGTTTCCCTTCGACCAATTCTCTAGTGAAGAGTTAAAAGTGCCAAAAACTCACGACTTTCGGATCTCTGAAATTTTTTAGTCCATCAGAGTTATCGACGACAATGTTGATAAATTTTCTAGAATTTCTATCCTTAAATTTGAGTCGTGGTTGGTTGGTGTCTTTATGTTGCAGACAAAGGTAAAGATTTAGATAGTGAAGTTTTGAAAATATCCTTTTTTCAGCAACGATCAACAGGAAGTTTTGAAAATCTAAAAGGAGATTTTATGGAAGTTTTTAGAAGAATTGAGTTTCCAGCGATATTGAAGAGATTTATGTGTAACAATTGAGATCCCTTAAGTTTCGGTTGTGGAAGCAAAANTTTTAGAAGAATTGAGTTTCCAGCGATATTGAAGAGATTTATGTGTAACAGTTGAGATCCCTTAAGTTTCGATTGTGGAAGCAAAAATATAAAAATCGATTCTCATTTTACTGAAGAGGGTATTTTAAAAATTTGTTAGGAGTTGTGTACTTTTTTACCTATATTTTTTAAAATAGTACTTTCTGCTCTATAATTTCTAAAAAAAACACCACCCCCCCTTAAAACNAATTGAGATCCCTTAAGTTTCGGTTGTGGAAGCAAAAATATAAAAATCGGTTCTCATTCTACTGAAGAGGGTATTTTATAAATTTGTTAGGAGTTGTGTACTTTTTTACCTATATTTTTAAAAATAGTACTTTCTGCTCTATAATTTCTAAAAAAAACACCACCCCCCCTTAAAACCCTAAGTACTTTATCTTCTTGAGGTCAAGAGTTCAAATCTTTCTCCCTCTCTCTTACTTCTTCCCAAAAAAAACAAATAGAGAAAAAATAAGAGGGAGGGATGAGAGAGATAAGTGTGAATTAGTGGGATTGTCTGATATTAAGGAATGTATTAGTTAAATTGTCAGACATTGGGATCGTGAAAATATATTTTTCAAACATTAAAAATTTTATTTTGAATGAATTTGATACTGTTAGATAAAATTAGATAAATCTTGATCATTTTGGTGTTTTTAAAAATATAGAATTCAAATAATATTAAATAGACGGTATCTACTAAAGTAATTCAAAATCTACCGCGGTGTTACTATAATTTTTAAAAAAATTAAAAAACAAAAACATAAAATTTACGGTATAAACATTTTGAACTTGGATTCGGTACCGAAAAAAAAATATTAAATACCATGTGTTTTTATTATTTTTGTAGATTATTTTATAATAAAAAAATTATTACTTATGTGTGTAATTTTTACCGTTGTAGTAACTATTTTTACCACTTTTCTTCGATAAATAAATACCACTTTTTACGGTTCTTTTTATTTTTGTTGTAATAACTGTTTTTATTTATTTTTAGGTAATACAACAGTGATAAAAATATTCACAAAAATAATAAAAATTCCAAAAATATAATAAAAATTAGTACAGTAACAAAATTTTATTATTGGCTAAAATTTCTATTCGTTTCCTTTTTTTTTTTTTTGTTCAATTGTCAGAGGTGTTCAAATAAACTTATGTGCACCTCGATAAACTCCTTCTTCAGTTTGATTAAAAACAGATCATCAACGTCAGAATTAAAATATTTATGAGATAAATTCTGATGACTTAGCTCTAATGCGTACCTTAATTAATTTTCTCACTGATTCGATCAAAAGTAAATCATCGTAACAAAACTAAGATATTAATAAAATAAATTCTAATAACTTAACTCTAAAATATTATAAAATTTTAATTTATAAATATCTAAATTTATTGTCCGTCCCGTTATTACTTGAGCTATTTAATTTCCTTACTTTCGCCCAGCCCTATTTATAGTCACTCTGTAGTTTGTACTTCTGTTCTTTTTCATTTTTTTTTGGCCTTTCTGACAACTAATAAATTGATCTAAACCTTTTGAACTCAATTGATCTATACTTTAGTTTTCAAAAAAAAATTGATCTATACTTTAGAGCTCTTTGATTTGATTTGATAGGTTTTGAAAGTTTTGATTCATACAGATTTCAGACCAATCAGAGTTCGGAATTAGGGCTTCTCTCGTGTATTGATTGCAGTCATTACCATCTGATGTAGAATGTAGTATAGTATTTAACTTACACAATGTATTTATAAAAACTTGTTCTTAATGTTCTTTATATTCTCTTACAATTAATCAGAAAAATCAACCTCTCTACCTCTAGAATCGCGTCTTCTTAGCTCAGGCAATTGTGCGTATTGTTTTGTTGGGTCAATAGTCAGTTTTTAGGGGTTTGGTCCGTGCATTATTGCACTCACGATCAAGGTCTGAGGTGTTTTATGTTGATTTTGTTAGCTTGATTCATTAGTAATAGTTGTTTGTCAATTTGATCGACAAAAATCATCTCTAGATAGAGTTTTGGAAGATTCGAATTAGTGAAGGATGGAGAAGAAAAAGATCGCAGTTCCACTTGTTTGTCATGGGCATTCTCGCCCTGTCGTCGACTTGTTCTACAGCCCAATCACTCCCGATGGGTTTTTCCTTGTTAGTGCCAGCAAGGGTAAATGCCAATTTTACTTGAAATTAATAGTTTTTGATTTTTTATCGATTCATGTGGTCTATCTAGTTGCTGATAATTACTTGTAGTTTATCGCCTTTAATTTTGAGGAATATTGACTTGTTTTCCTTCTTAGCTGTCTTGTCTGCGCTGATCTTCGTTAGTGAGGAATTTTAATCATCTGAACTTGAACTAGAAACTGGAAGGAAGAATAAGTTCAGGGTTTGTAATGATTACGGGATAATTTATGTGGTAAAATCACAATTGGCATTTTCAGTTGCGGGTTTTGTGAAAGTAGTCTTCCACTTCAATTCCTCTGTAGAATTACAAGCTTCTAATTCTTTTTGGCTATTATATCTTTGGATTTAATGACTCTGGTCGTATTCATATACAACATCTGAACAAGCTCAATATATGCTCAGTTGTCAGTTCCCCCATTGAATTCTTAATAAAAGAATTGATGTTACATTGTGAGATAAGATTAAGGCTTGCTGTGATTGATATTATTTGTAGGATTTGATTTGTTTGCTTATTTTCTGTTTTCAAAACATGGTTTAATTTCTGTTATTCAGATTCCACCCCAATGCTGAGAAACGGTGAGACTGGAGATTGGATTGGAACCTTCGAAGGACATAAAGGTGCTGTGTGGAGTTGTTGCCTGGATAGAAATGCTCTGCGTGCTGCATCTGCGTCTGCTGATTTTACTGCGTATGGGGTCAAGCTTTTCCTTTATTTAGTTACATTTAGTGTAACGTTGTCATTATGTGATAGTTTTAAAGTTGTTATTCCCCACATATGCGCGAGTACTTCTCTTAGAGTACTAGTCGCATTTTGAATTTTGCCTTTTCTAGGTACCTGACTTTATGTATGCATAAATGTTGATTCTTGATTTGTTTTCTAATTCATCCTCATTGTTTGCAGAAAAATATGGGATGCATTAACGGGCGATGAATTGCACTCATTTGAGCACAAGCACATAGTTCGGGCATGTGCTTTTTCAGAGGTAGTTTAGCCAAGTCGAGTATGAGGCTGCTTGAGTTTAATTTTCCCTTTTATTGTATTAACTTGAAAACTTAGCTATGATAATCTGTCTTACACAATGAAGGGGCACAGCTCAGTGCTTGCATGTGCTCCACAGTTGCTTTCCTTTTTCCAATCATCAATGAAAACTTTTCATGAAACAGGAACAGCGTGTTCCATGTGGGACAACAACTCCATCAAAGAAAAAGACAATATTGAAACAGGAAAAAATATTTATATATAAAATTTTACTCGTCATAGAGAGATGTCCAATCCAAAAGAGACACACTGAATCCCAGAAAGAAGACAAAAAAGAGATTCTTTCCCATAATCGAGCCACCTCCACTTGTGTTCAAAAAGTTTNCGTCATAGAGAGATGTCCAATCCAAAAGAGACACACTGAATCCCAGAAAGAAGCCAAAAAAGAGATTCTTTCCCATAATCGAGCCACCTCCACTTGTGTTCAAAAAGTTTTGCATTCCTTTCAATCCATCTAACCCAAAACATAGTCAACACCAAATGTCTCCAAAGTGATCAAGCTTTTGCACTCCTTCCAAGTTCCAAGTCCACAAAATACTATGCAGTTTCTTTCAAGTTTTAAGTTATTTTAAATTGGTTTCTCTAGATATTAAGTTATTTTAAAATTGGTTTTAAGTTATTTTAAATTGGTTGCGTGTATCATTGTACAGGATACACACCTTCTACTCACTGGTGGTGTTGAGAAAATACTTCGCGTATTTGATTTAAATCGACCAGATGCACCTCCAAGAGAAGTTGATAATTCTCCCGGTTCAGTTAGAGCTGCTGCATGGCTTCACAGTGACCAGACCATTTTAAGTTCCTGCTCCGATATTGGGGGGGTGAGGTAGGCAATGTTCATTTATGTTTTTATTTCTATTCGTTCTAATTTGGTGTTTTCTTATTTGATTATATGAATTAGAGCTTATGGCTGGTATATGTTGATTTAATTTGAACTCATATGTACACCACAAAGTCAGCTGTTTGGTTTGTATTAAGTGGCTTATGTTAATTCCTGACGCTGGCAATGTCCATGAGAATACATTTGGCAATTTTCGCAATCCCCACATACATTGGGCAGTTACCCATATAAAGGGGGCCCACTCAAAATGGCCTCCTGCTTTTGAAGTGGACTCCTGGCCATCTTGATTCTTGCTTGTCTACTCCGTGGAGTCTTCTTATTTGGTTATTTTATGAGCTGGTAAATATCCTTAGTTTTTAAATTAATGGACTATGGGAGGGGTTGTATCACGGTCAAATGTGAGTTTTAACTTCATCGATTGAACTATAAATCTCTGGTGTTAAGAAAAAATTGATGTTGTACTTGTTTTCATTCTTTGTTCAGAACATTGAGGTGGACATTAGATTGGCAGAAAGGTACATGAAGATAGATAGCAAAAATTATGTGGAGGAATTGTTTAAAAACCAAAGTTTGCACTTGTGGTTGGCTGGAGTGCACCTGTGCTGGCTGTCTGAAGGAATCCTAAATTGTAGATGATACTGACTTTTGTAATATCTGGCCTACTTAAACATGAAAAGGTAAATTATTGATTATCAAACCACACACTTCTTAAACTGTCAGACACTTAGCTTGTGATGTTCCACTTAATGGTGATTTGTTTAGGTGCACAATAAGGTGATGGTTCTATTCCAAGCAGATTTTGATATGATTTGCCGAAAATCTACTTTCCTGTTTTAGGGTCCATAGAACAGGGCCACTTCTACATGGGCTTTACAACCTCTATTTGAAAGGGTAACAATTACATGGGGCGGTATTACAGTACATAAATACATCAACCTAATGTCTTGAGCTGGATTGAAAATTATAAATTTATTGTTACTACAGTCACTTGTCAATTAAACCTGTTTACAGAATGTCCCAGAACACATTAACTTTATAATGCAATCTCCTTGATGCATTTACATCTCTGTTCAGTGTTGATATTGTGTGGAATTCAGCTGAACTTCATCTAAAGGCAGCCTAAACAATCCTTTCTATTGGCCTTAGATTGTGAAAAACATTTGGTGATATCCAGCCTTGTCCACTCTTGTATGTGTCAAAATGTCCTTATTTGTTCAGTCACAGCAGCAACCAGATAAACCCTGTTTTTGTTGTCTTCCGTAGTATAGAGGTTGCTCTTGATTTATGATAACGCCTGTTGCATTTGCACTGCATGGGTGGTTATTCAGACTGCAATTCTTGAACATTTTATCTTCTATTGGTTATTCTCCTCCCACTGTCCATTTCAGTTTGAAAACATACTGGTGATTCTCCAGGTTATGGGACATGAGAAGTGGCAAAATCGTCCAGACACTTGGGACCAAGTTACCTGTAACAAGTGCTGAAGTCAGTGAGGATGGCCGATATATAACTACTGCTGATGGGTCCACTGTTAGGTTTTGGGATGCAAATCAGTAAGTATGAATCTATGTAACTTGTTGCTCCAGGCAGTGGATCTGCTTGAATGCCTCAATACCTTGTATGTAATTATTCAATGTCACTTCTCTTCTCAGTTTTGGTTTGGTGAAGAGCCACAGCATGCCCTGCAATATAGAATCGGCTTCACTGGAACCAAAGCATGGTAATAAGTTCATTGCTGGAGGAGAAGACATGTGGGTTCATGTTTTCGATTTCACTACAGGAGAAGAGATTGGTATGTGACTTGACCAAAGGCCTTCATTTTCCTTGGCTAGTACTTCATCTGTTGATAATTGGATGTAGGTGTTTGATAGATCACTTGATTGGGGTGTGAGGATTCTATTTTGACCCACAAACTGACACTTCCCACATTTCTATTTGGCACAAATTTAGGAAACCTGCCAAAATTCTTATTTAGTTGTTTTGTTGAAAAAGTATAACATGCGTCCAAGTTTCCTTTGGATTTTTGCAGCCTATCATTGATATTTGTTAATGTGTCCACCAGGCAAACTCAGCTCCCTGGGAGAAAAATCCAAACCCCAACAAAATCCTGATTTAAGTGTTTTTAGCGTCCACCCTTTTTGGTGTTGGCTTGATGGTGGTGCTTCTGACTTATCTTCAGTTTGCCGTGTCCTAACCTAATTGGCTAATTGTGATTACTCATGCACATTGTTGTAGGATGCAACAAGGGTCACCATGGTCCAGTCCATTGCTTGCGATTTTCTCCAGGAGGTGAATCTTATGCCTCAGGATCTGAAGATGGAACCATCAGAATATGGCAGACGCCTTTGAATCATAATGAGCATGATACATCTCCTGCAAATGGACCAACTGATAATGTGAAGGTTGCAGCTGATGTGGTCACACAAAAGATTGAGGGCTTTCATCTAGCCAAAGAAGGCAAGGCAGGCGACAAGGAAAAGGCAGCAGATGTTTGACTAGGGATATTGTGCGTTTTTTCTTGGCCTGTTTATGGAGTTGTAAGAATGTGTGTCTTCAATGGAATTATCCTTCTTTGAAATGGAAACAACTTCTAAAGATGCACTTCTCTTTTGTTTTCGCATTTCTTCTCTTTGCTGCTTACAAAGCAGCAGAACCTATTTCAGTGTTGGAAAATGCTATTTAAACTTAATTTAGTGACTTTATTTGCTGATATGATGGATCATAGCCGTTGGGGTCTCAACTAATAGTAAAATGCACCGGTAATGACAAAAAATAAAAAGGTCAGCNGTTGATATGATGGATCATTGCCGTCGGGGTCTCAACTACGGGGTCTCAACTAATAGTAAAATGCACCGGTAATGACAAAAAATAAAAAGGTCAGCAAATAAGGTCCATGTTTGCTCTTAAGTGGGAGTGTTAGTCGAGATGAGTTATTTGGGTTCAACTCGAATTTGACTCATATTCTAAACGAATTAAACTTGAACAATTTTTCAGACTCACTTAAAAAAATGAATGTAAATAACTTAACTCATTTATAGTCAAGTCTCAAGCTCAGGCTTAGTTCGAGTTCCAATCGAGTTAAACTTAAATAAGGTTCATTTAGAAAAATAAAATCGTCAGATTCAAGCTCATAAAGTTCGTTAGAAAAGTGATTCATTTACCCTTGCTAATATTTAAAATTCTCAAACAAAGTCCATGANACTAAACTTGAACAATTTTTCAGACTCACTTAAAAAAATGAATGTAAATAACTTAACTCATTTATAATCAAGTCTCAAGCTCAGGTTTAGTTCAAGTTCTAATCGAGTTAAACTAAAATAAGGGTCATTTAGAAAAATAAGATCGTCAGGTTCAAGCTCATAAAATTCGTTGGAAAAGTGATTCATTTACCCTTGCTAATATTTAAAATTCTCAAACAAAGTCCATGAGGAGAGAAGATGACTCTACCCTATAGCCCCATCAGTTTAATTTACAATTACATTGCAAACCATCAAAATTTTCTATTATCGATGTCCCTTTGTTGCCCAATTTACTTTTTCTTCCTATTCAATTGAATTGAAATCACGCCTCTTTTGCAATTCTAACCGTATTTTTATTCTTTCAATTTGAAGATTTTGAACTATTCACCTTGAGCCAAGATTTATCTTTGTCATCTCTATTCTCTTAATATTGTTGTTCTCACCTCTCTTCGATCCAATGTGACTCAAACTTTGGTTGTTGTCAAATTCTCTCTCCCATTGACAAATCACAAAAAACATACTGTGGATAAACTACTCAAGAATTAAATGGGTTAAATTAACACAAGAAAAAGTTTGGGGGCTATAATTAAAATTACAGATTAAATTCAGGGTCCAACAGTATTTGCTATGCTTTCAGCTAACGAAAGGGATTCAGGGAGGGGTAAGTTCGTCATATGGATTAAATAGCTTCGTCCATCGATCCCGACGAAGTCTCTCTCCATCTCGACCTTGCTCTCGCTCTCTGCGGTAGATTTCTCGACCGTCTCTGTATCGAACCATCGGGAACCCTAATTCGCGGAGGTTATCTTGTTTTTAGAAGGAAAAATGTCGGGAAAAGGAGCGAAAGGTCTGATAATGGGGAAATCCTCCTCATCCCTGAACGGGGCAAACAAGGACAAGGACAAAAAGAAGCCCGTCTCTCGATCCTCTCGCGCTGGTCTTCAGGTTCTCTCTCTCTCTCTCTCTCTCTCCGTACATCACTCTATCTATTTGCAGCCGTTGATTTCGATTTATGTGATTAGTTGTTGTTCGCTCTGATGATCAGGGTTTTGAGTTAATTTTTGTCAGATTTATATTGGTTTATATCGGGAACTTCTTGAGAAATTTATGAATTGCTTGAGTTGAAATAGTTAGTTTTTGGAGCTTATCGTTTTTTTAATTGTTTTTCAATTTTGGAGCTTACTATCAAATTGTTGTCCACTGTAGTGCAGTCTGTAATCTTGCCGCGTCAACATGGAAGTTTTCAAACTATATAATGTATCACAACTTATTCTAGTTCACTTCCCATATACCATACCAGCACAGTTCCTCGGCTGCACATTATTTTCTAACCACAATTTAAACTCAACTGGAATTGAATTTCTTTATGCCCTCCTCATTATCCAATTTTCTAAGAGATCGNTGCCAACACAGTTCCTCGGCTGCACATTATTTTCTAACCCCAATTTAAACTCAACTGGAATTGAATTTCTTTATGCCCTCCTCATTATCCAATTTTNTACCAGCACAGTTCCTCGGCTGCACATTATTTTCTAACCACAATTTAAACTCAACTGGAATTGAATTTCTTTATGCCCTCCTCATTATCCAATTTTCTAAGAGATCGATCATAGTACATAATATTCCAAAGAGATTAATACACAATCGGTTTTAGTAGTCATATTTCCATTCAAATTCAAATGGTCAAAGCTCTATTGCGTGCTGTTAGCCAAAAAAAGGTAGTAGTAATAAAAATCCTCATTGTGGTGCTAAAAAAATAAAAAATGTCACAAAAGCTGCCGAAATTAAAGAAATGGTTTATGTGTTATCTCTCACAATAACTCCGACAAAATCTTGTAAGCTATCATTTCCTTTATTCACTCAATCTACTAGATAAATGCTGATAGAATTCAAAAACAAATTGAGGAAAGACTAAAGAGAGGAAAGATAAAAGACAAAGAACAAAAAGTATGGGAATACCAAGAGAGAAAAATCCATAGGAAGCAATTTTATAATCGTGTATAGTCATGTTCATATCTTATTGGGTTTGTATTGCGTATAAGCTATGTTTATCAACTTTGTGTTGCATATGTCCATGTTAATATCAAATTAGTTATTTGGAAGATCTAAAGGGTCAACTCATTCACCCAAATCTGTTAAGCCTAAATTCTCCCTGACATATCTAAAATTGTGAGCACCACGAATAGTTAAAATGGATGCCATTGGCGTAAAGAGATCCAATATGATCCAAATCAAACCCTTTTNTGTTGCATATGTCCATGTTAATATCAAATTAGTTATTTGGAAGATCCAAAGGGTCAACTCATTCACCCAAATCTGTTAAGCCTAAATTCTCCCTGACATATCTAAAATTGTGAGCACCACGAATAGTTAAAATGGATACCATTGGCGTAAAGAGATCCAATATGATCCAAATCAAACCCTTTTGGTGTATACCTTACTCTAAGCCATCCATGCATATTTTTCTGGAATTTAATCAAATTTTTGTTTCATTTGATATCATTGGATCTAAGAGTGAAGACATATACAGCTAGGATTGCTTTATATNTACCATTGGCGTAAAGAGATCCAATATGATCCAAATCAAACCCTTTTGGTGTATACCTTAATTTAAGCCATCCATGCATATTTTTCTGGAATTTAATCAAATTTTTGTTTTATTTGATATCATTGGATCTAAGAGTGAAGACATATACAGCTAGGATTGCTTTATATTTTTGTTGGAGAGTTAATACTTCAGCTCTCTAGTCCCAAATACATTAGTGGCCAACACATTGACCCCACTAAACTTGGAAGGCTGCAAATATACAAAAATGGCAGAGACTACCCCAGTAATCCCACATTTAANATTTTTGTTGGAGAGTTAATACTTCAGCTCTCTAGTCCCAAATACATTAGTGGCCAACACATTGACCCCACTAAACTTGGAAGGCTGCAAATATACAAAAATGGCAGAGACTACCCCAGTAATCCCACATTTAAAATACATAAGTACCCCTAAATCTTTTAAAATATTTTAATGGGGGCAATATCCTAAAATTTTCAAAATCCTAAATACATCCAATTTTTTATTTTTTTTAAATTGTCGTGGGGGCAGCTGCTCCCTACTGTAGCTCCACCACTGACTTTGGTTGCAATATGCAATCTTGCCTTGAGGTTGTCAGTCAAATGTGGGAGTATCTAAGTGAAAAGAAAGGCCCAACGTTAGGCTGCCCTTTGATGAGTAACGGGAGGTTGTTCAATAAAAAATAAAAATAAAAAATTCATTGTGTCTCTTTTTGAATTCTTTTAGGTAGGTGGATAACACAATCATTAACTACTCTGTTTCCTATGGATTGTTTGAAAGTTTTCTTGCATAAGCATGTCGGTCTTTAGGTTTAAGGAACTTTCTTGTTATTCAGCTTTTTCAAGAGGGATGATTTCAATGTCAACATGTGATTTTTCCATGGTTGAGTACTTGGTTTGAATGTCAATGGCACAAGCAGAAATTAGGGATGTCATATAGCATCATTACAGTTAAGTTTTCATGTTATAGTGTGCAATTTTGAAGTTACTGCCTTACTTGAGCCTTGAGGTATGGAGTGTTGAAACTTGTTAGTTGCTTTGGTAAGCAAATATGATGGCCCGGTGTGTGAAGTTATAGGGAGAGTTATGTTACCGTTAAGCCATCATCTACTGTGCATATTTTCTCTATTTTTGTTTATAAGATAATGGCATTATGTTACTTGAGTTCAACTTTTTGCAAAAATATCTTCTGATGGACCACACAGAGCTTTCTTTTATATATAATCTTAGTGCTTATGTCTTTCATTTGCATTCGAACTCTTTAATGTTGTTATTCTTGAAACACCTCAATGATGTTGTGCAGTTTCAGGATTTTTGTGCATTTAAGTAAAAAAAGAAGAAGAAAAATAGACATTTATGTGAGGCATTATCTAGTCTCTCAACTGCAGCATGTGCTCGATGGTCTTTGAGATCATTTTATGCATTGGCAACTATGACATATATTCATTTTATGTATTCTTTTCTTGTGCTTAGAGGCAAGTACCATTGAGCTAACTTAATAAGGGGTGAATGTACAAGACACATTCTAGCCATGTTCTTATTTCAAAATGGCTTTAAGAAACTGAGGTTGCTCATGAGCTGTCTGGAAAATGTTCTTAGTGCTTGGTTTGCTTGACTGATTTCACGTACTTTTCATCATAGCAGATGTTTGGTTTGTTCAATGGATTTCTCACAAATTTTGCTCCAAAAATTTGTAAATTACCACTATGCATTTATTTTGTCCTTGCGTATACCTTGATGTTGCAAAATGTGGTGATTTTAAAATCTAAAGGAGTTATGTTGGTCTTGTGGAGAGTGTCAGCTAAGACCTTGTATTCACGTGAAAACTTCAATTCGATAGTTTCTAATTTAAATATATTTGGAGTGTTTTTTTGATAGGAAATAAACTTTTATTAATAAAAAAGAGAAAGAAATTACAATTTCGAATGAAGGTGGGCAAGTCGTCCGGCCCTATTACATAAAAGAAAAACAGTGAAAAACATCTATCCAAAAAACATGCTATGTACCACATGAGGCTAACATTGACAATTCTTGAGCAAGGAAATTTACGATTAGTCATCTAATTGTAGTTAATGGACCATGTTTCTCATGGTCACACCCATTAGAGTTAAGCGTGTATCACCCCAATAGAGGGGTAGCCGCGGATGCCCTTTGGGGTTAAAAGCTGCATATGTTTGGTTGCACCTTTGTTTTGTAAACATAGCTCTTCAAGGGACTTAAATTGTCAGTTAGTCTGTTTTGTAACCTCTAGGTCCTACAAGTCACATGTCATCAATGTGGCCATTGTTTGCAATGATTTTGTGATCTCTGGAGACTGTATCACCTTGAAAGTAGTGATTGTGTAAAAATGATCGGCATGCTAGTAATTCATCATGAAGCCGACCCCAAATATATTAGGAGAAGGTTTTGCTAAGTTGAGTTGAGTATGTTTGTAATTAAACTTACTGAACAGTTAAAGTTTGGNATGAAGCCGACCCCAAATATATTAGGAGAAGGTTTTGCTAAGTTGAGTTGAGTATGTTTGTAATTAAACTTACTGAACAGTTAAAGTTTGGTTAATAAGTGTTGGAAAATCTTGGTGTTTTTTACTTACTCAGACAAGGCTGACAAGTTTATTTTTCTATTTTTATGCTGATTTTTTCTGGGAAAAAAATGACATTCGTTGTGTTTCCGGTATATTACAGACCNGCAAAATGTGGTGATTTTAAAATCTAAAGGAGTTATGTTGGTCTTGTGGAGAGTGTCAGCTAAGACCTTGTATTCACGTGAAAACTTCAATTCAATAGTTTCTAATTTAAATATATTTGGAGTGTTTTTTTGATAGGAAATAAACTTTTATTAATAAAAAAGAGAAAGAAATTACAATTTCGAATGAAGGTGGGCAAGTCGTCCGGCCCTATTACATAAAAGAAAAACAGTGAAAAACATCTATCCAAAAAACATGCTATGTACCACATGAGGCTAACATTGACAATTCTTGAGCAAGGAAATTTACGATTAGTCATCTAATTGTAGTTAATGGACCATGTTTCTCATGGTCACACCCATTAGAGTTAAGCGTGTATCACCCCAATAGAGGGGTAGCCGCGGATGCCCTTTGGGGTTAAAAGCTGCATATGTTTGGTTGCACCTTTGTTTTGTAAACATAGCTCTTCAAGGGACTTAAATTGTCAGTTAGTCTGTTTTGTAACCTCTAGGTCCTACAAGTCACATGTCATCAATGTGGCCATTGTTTGCAATGATTTTGTGATCTCTGGAGACTGTATCACCTTGAAAGTAGTGATTGTGTAAAAATGATCGGCATGCTAGTAATTCATCATGAAGCCGACCCCAAATATATTAGGAGAAGGTTTTGCTAAGTTGAGTTGAGTATGTTTGTAATTAAACTTACTGAACAGTTAAAGTTTGGTTAATAAGTGTTGGAAAATCTTGGTGTTTTTTACTTACTCAGACAAGGCTGACAAGTTTATTTTTCTATTTTTATGCTGATTTTTTCTGGGAAAAAAATGACATTCGTTGTGTTTCCGGTATATTACAGACCATAATATTCTTATATCAGCAGCCGTTTTGTTACATAATTGTTGCAGTTCCCAGTGGGTAGGGTTCACCGTCAACTGAAGACAAGGGTTGCAGCTAATGGCAGGGTTGGAGCAACAGCTGCTGTTTATACAGCAGCCATATTGGAGTATCTGACCGCTGAAGTACTAGAGTTGGCTGGCAATGCAAGCAAGGATCTGAAGGTAAAGCGCATAACACCGAGGCATTTGCAGCTTGCCATCCGGGGGGACGAAGAACTTGACACCCTCATCAAAGGAACCATAGCTGGTGGTGGAGTCATCCCTCACATTCACAAGTCACTCATCAATAAATCTTCCAAAGATTGAACGACAATCTTTTAGTCTTTTGGCTTGTTAATTTGTAGGTTTGAACCTGAGAAGCATGTATAATTATTTACTCACTATGGTCTTAACTTTTATACGAGTTCGTATGATTTGGTAGGATGATGTTAATGTTGGTGGCAAGCTTACGATTGTGCTGCTATCACGTGGAATATCGGGTTTATACGGGCATTGTTGGCTCTGAGGGCATGGAGATTTAAATTCAATTTCCGGACCAGATTTAGTCCTCTCTTCAGTCCAAACAGGTAACTTCTGCTGGTGCTTATAGGGAAGAACGAAAAAATTGCTACTTAATGAGGACCAACTTTATAATATCTATCTTACCCTACCCAAAAAAAAACTTTATAATAATTATAATATAAACATTAAATTACTAAAAAATCTTTCAAATAATTATATCCTAGAGATTTTTGAGGATAAAAATGATTTTTTGTGAAAATATACCTCGAGCAGACTATTTAAACCCATCAAATAGGTGGATTTATTTAAGATGATGTATGTGGCTATAAATGTACTATTCATTCAGGCCTAAATTAATTTTTAGACGATAATACCGGGCCTAAAGTGTACGTTCAAACACAAGAATAAAGAGGATAAGATGGGTCTAGATATATTTTTTTCGATCATTATTTCTTAATATCTAAAGCAAACACACGCTCTGAGTCAGTGAGTTTTGTATTGGGCCTTTATTCACGGTTTACCATCCAAAACACCCATAACGAGATTTGAATCTTGTCCTGCTGTTTTTGGTGGCAAACTCACTAATTAAACATAAGCTTATGCTTGTACGCAAGGACGGAACGGAAGTAAAATCTTATCATAAAGGAGGGGAAACAAAAATAGTCACCTAGTTAAAAATTTTAATGTTAACTTTTTATTTTTATAAAACTTATAAAGTCAACTTCCATATGAAATGAATTGGAAAAATTAATTTGAGACATAAAATTTAAAAATCTAAAAATTGATTCTTATTTCTCGTTGTAAACTTAACTAATGATAGTGTTGTGATCTACTTACTCTTTCATTCATTAAATGATACAATAACTATGAATAAATTATTGTCGTAAATATTATAATCAATACGTATTATGATGTATGTAATTAAAGCATTTTTTTTCTTCTTATTCTTTTTGTCTCGGGTCATAAGACTCATACAAACATGTGTCTTACTCTATAAGAGACTACTTAATGACACAGACTAACAAAAAATGGTAAACAATAAACATATTTGTATTCATATTCAAAATTAAATCATAAATTTTAAAAAAATATAAAAGAATTTAAGTATCGATTTGTAGTGGGGGTAAGAGATGGTGGACGACAGTGGTGGTGGTGGTAGGAGAGGGTGATAGTTGTGGTGGGTAACAATGACTGTGGTGGTGATGGTGACGGTGGTGGTGGCGGCAACAACAGTGGCGGTGGTGGAGTGGTTTTAAACATTATTTTTTTTAAAAAATATTTATGAGAAATAATTTCTAAAAGTACTTTTAAAAAGTTACTCCAAATACATCCTTAGAAGTTTATTTTTCGTATGAAATTTAGAGTGTTAATATTAGCTGTTAGATTAATTTTAAAGTAAATTTAAAGTGATCTCAACCGCGAATAACTAATTTATAATATAGATATACTCATTCATATCACTTATATTCGAATTTTTTTTTTATTAAAATCAAACCCTAAAGTTTTTAAATATACTAATTCAATTATCTTACATATATAAAAAAATTTGAAACCTTAAGAAAAGGTATAAAATTTTTTTAAAAAAAACTACGAGGGCATAAGATATTTTTAAAAAGTTGAGGCCCCTTATGCTCCAATGTACACTTGTACGCCTTTCATTACAGAACTTTTTAATTGTAATTGAAATATAAAATGTGTGTATTTGTCGTCACACCCTAAATTGATATGTTAATACTAAAATTTCAAGAATGTTAGGTTGGTTGCATTTGGGTTAGGTGACCCCACCGGACACGACCAAGTCCAAACTAACCTACCTCAATACCAACCACAATGGATAAAATTGTACGGTCTAAATTTATTTATTAAATTTTATAAATCAAATATGTAGTGGAATTAGTAGATTATATTGATCCAACTACTCATGCTAATTTGATATACAAAATTGAGTTCTCAACAACAATATATTCCGCTTCGTTTTTTTAAAAACTTACAACAACTATCATTCTATTTTTAATAATGCTATATATACTATTTTTGTAGATCATTAAATTAATAGATATTATAGAATTTATTAAATATTCAATAATTTTAATTATGTCACATTAAATAGTGTAAGAGAAATAATATACAAAGATATTAATATTCACAACATTTAAATTATAATTCAAATAAATTATTATAATTAATAATAATTTGGTATCGTAGCCTTTCCCTTGTAATTAGTTCCTTCACGCCAAAGAAATTGGAGGAGAGGCGGTTCAGTTGTGGTTGGTGAAATGATGTGGGACCCTCCACAAGCCTGCCTTTGAACGACTCTCACATCTTACAAGTGGGACCCCCCACGAAGAAACGCAATCTTCATGTACAATCAAGAATCGACCACTGACACGGGCTCCACGATAAATTCTCTTCAACTTTTCTCTCATCCGATTATCTACCCTGCATTGATATACAATCAATTTTATCATACGGAGAGGACTACGGCACAAACTATGGAATTTTCGGTGTCATACCGAAAATTTCAAATTTGTAAAAATAATTATAATTTTAGTGGTATATTTATTAAATTTATGAATTATTTATAACTTCACCGGTTAGTAGATAAGATAAGATATTAAAATGACATGTCAGATAATATATCATGATTATTAGTAATTTTGTTACTATAATGAATGAAATATTTATAATTTTAGTGGTATATTTATTAAATGAATAATGCTAGATGGATTTAAAAACTAAACTTAAAATTTAAACTTGATAATTTCAACCATTGAATAGATAATGTGTTCTAATAAATGTTAAGACCTATAGTGAAATCAATAGTTGAGATTATTAAGTTTAATTTTTAAGTCTATTACTTTTGAGTCCATGTAGCATTGCTCTTATTAAATTTGTGAAAATATTTATAATTTCAGTGATATATTTATTACTTTAATGAGAATATTTACAACTAATTCAAGAAGATATACAACTTCAATGGATCAATTACTATTTTTATGGGAATATTTATAACTTCAATGAATTCTTTATGCGAATATTTACCACTTCAGTGAATTATTTACCAAATTTGTAGGAATAATTACAACTGTAATGAATTGCTTACCAGATCGATCATTAAACATATTGGATCGATCAAAAAATTATATTGATCAATCAAATTGTTGTAAATCATAAATACTTGAGACATCTGATATATTTGATAGATCAAAAATATGTTTGATCTATCAAAATATGTTTAATTGATCTATCAAACATGATAAATTCAATTTTGAAAAAAAAATTTAAAAAATTTTAAATCCAATTTTTTAAAAATTGAAAAAAAATCCAATTTTTTAAAAATTGAGAAAAATCCAATTTTTAAATTTTTTTTCAAAAATTGGATTTTTTAATTGATAGATCAAAAATATGTTTGATAGATCATTAAACAAATATTTTTGATCAATTGGATTTACCACTTTTATGGAAATATTTATAACTTCAATGGTATTTTTTACGATATTTACTAGTCCATGATCGATCAAAACACACATATGTGTGCTTAATTTATAACTAATCAAAGAAAATATACAACTTAAATGGTTTATTTATCACTTTTATGGTAATATTTACAGCTTCAATGGATTCTTTATGGGAATAATTACAATCTCGGTGTTATGTGTTACCAAATTTATGGAAAAATTTAGAAGTGCAATGGATTTCATACCACAATTATGACAATATTTACAACTTCAAATGATTCTTTACAACATTTATGGGAATATTTACAACGTCAATGAATTCTTCACGACATTTACGAGAATATTTACAACTTTAGTGGATTGTTTGTGTAAACAATTACTATAGTAAAGGTTTTTTTACTTCTGATGCACTTTAAAAATCTGAACCAATTTGATCGATCAAATATGGTTTTGATCGATCAAATCTTCCAGTACTTTTACTTTTGATCAAAAGTATATTTGATAGATCAAACATATTTTTGATCTATCAAACATATCAGATGTCCCCAGTATATATGATCTGCAACAATTTGATCGATCAAATATACTCAATGATCGATCATTGAGTTACAAATGTAGAAGTTGAAGGGGCAAGTGGGATTACAATTGATCAAAAATAAATATGATAGATCAATTATTATGTATTTACTTAAATGCCCTCGAAGAGGAATTAATTGAAGTGTTGTAAGGGGACTTTGTAGTAAATAAACATCTAATCATGTTATTGGTAAAAAATCTATTCAAGTTGTAAATATTGCCATAAATATGATAAGCAATCTATTACAGTTGTAATTATTCTCACAAATTTGGTAAACAATCCACTGAAATTGTAAATATTCTCATAAAGAATCCATTGAAGTTGTAAATATTCCCATAAAAGTGGTAATTGATCCATTGAAGTTGTATATCTTCTTAGATTAGTTGTAAATTATTTACAAATTAAATACAACTCTCGTAAAAAACATTTATAACTCTCGTAAATATTCCCATAAATGTCGTAAAGAATCCATTGAAGTTGTAAATAATCCCATAAATTTAGTAAACATATCACTGAGGTTGTAATTATTTTCACAAATTTGATAAACATAATACTGAAGTTGTAAATATTCATACAAATTTGATAAATATATCACTGAAGTTGTAAATGTTCCCACAAATTTGGTAAATACACCATTGAAGTTGTAAATATTCCCTTCATTATGGTAACAAAATTACTAGTAATTATGATGTGTCATTTCAATGTCTTGACTTGTCTATCAACCGATATCTAACAAATAACTCATTGAAGTTGTAAATATTCCTACAAATTTAATAAATATACCATTGGAGTTATAAATATTTTCATAAATTTGATAAATATACCACTGAATTTGTAAATATTTCTATAAAAGTGATAAATGTACCACTAAAATTGTAAATATTCTCACAAATTTGGTAAATATATCACTGAAATTGTAAATATTCCCTTCATTATGATAACAAAATTACTAGTAATCATGATATACTATCTAACATATCATTTCAATGTCTTGTCTTGTCTACCAACCGGTGAAATTGTAAATAATCCATAAATTTAGTAAACATGCCGCTGAAGTTGTAATTAGTTTCACAAATTTGAAATTTTTGGTATGGTACAGAAAATTCCCTCGGATGTACCGTAGTCCTCTCCTTAACATATATATAGATTCTTATTCTTTTATCTTCTTTTTTTTGATCAACTTATTCTTATTCTTTTATCATCAAAGAAATATAGAGTGATATCTCCTTTAATATATTTTTTAATTATTATTTTAATAATAAATTTATTATTAATTTAAGTAAAATTTATTATATATTATATAATAAGTGATATATCAAAAAAAATATTAAATTAATGCCTAATAATCTAACATATGATCCATTGATAGAGTGCATATTTGACAAAAAATAGTGAATTTAAATTTAATATTAATAATTTTAAATGATATATATATATTTTAAATAACTAGACTCGCTCCATACATGAGTGAATAAAAATTCATCTAAACATGATATAAATTTGACGATTGAATCTAATACTACAAGAGCCGACCCTACTCAATCTTAGCTTCGGTGATAAAATGTCACATGCTGCATTATAAATTATCCATTTTCTAATTTTCTAAATTTCATTCTCATTGTTGTTGAAAAAATAAGTTATTTTAAATATTTTAAGACGTAGAATTGGAGAAATATCTATTTTTGTTTGGTATAAAGAAAGTATGCGGGTATTTTTGAATGACAGGATTAAAGTGAATTGAATATCTAAAAATATATTATTTTTTTATTTAATTTAAATTCACTTAGTTGTCATTTAGATAAGATTTAATTAAATTAATAATTACCTGTGCCTGAAGGCATTCTTAATACAAAAAATACACTAAACAAATGGGGCATCAAAAAATGTCTAAAATAAAAGAAATGCAAGAGCTAAAATGAAGAAGAATCATATCACATTAATACAATCTGAGAATTCCAATGAACTTAAACTAACATCGTTATAAAATTATCCTATCATACATTTCTTTATAGCCACTTTTCTTTCTACCAAATGAGTGTTCATTTTTTTAACCTCTAGTTAGATCTAATGAATAAGTTGTCTAGTTTTAATAAGAAATATCATTAAGAACACACACAATTATATCTTTGAATCAAATTAAATGAATCAATCACACTGAACTACAAATCAAATTTTTAAAAAATAAAAAAAGCTCAACTGAATTAACATTTCTAGCAAATTTGCTTATAACTGTAAGTACAATTGACTTAAATTCTTTGCCGCTGTGATTTTTCGGATGCTATAAAAATATTATCATGCTCCAATTAAACCAAATCAACAAAATAAAAATTTCACCACTTCAAAAAAGATTGATTTAACTGATTTTTTTTGTCGTTTTCGTTGTCTATTCAGCACTATTCAAGTATTCAAAAAAATATGAACATTAGCAAGGAAAACTGATGCAAATAAGGAAGAAAAAATTTATAGTTGGGTTTGAAATTTTTTTTTTGTGCAATTGGTTTCACTTATTTTTTTATTAGTAATTAGCTTAATTTTGAATTTTTTAATTTTTTTTGTGCAATTAATATCACTTGTTATTTTTTATTGGTGATTAGTTTGACTTTAATTTTTTTTTTAGCACAATTGATATCACTTGTTTTTTTTTATTGGTAATTAATTTGGATTTGAAAGTCAATAACCTAGCAAATTTTTTAACATTTTAAATATTTTCTCATTTATAAAATCATACAAATGTATGTTTTGAAAAAAAAAGTTCAATTAGGATATCTAGACAAACAATGAGAGAATATTAGATAGAGAGAGATAAAGATAGAATAAAAGTTTAATTAGTATCATCAAAATAAACAATACTAAATGAGAGAGAATATGAGATATATATATAAGAGTTGAGTGTATGAGATAGAGAGAGAGAGAGAGAGAGAGAGAGAGAGAGAGAGAGAGAGAATTATGAGAGGTGTAAGTTTTAGAGTTGTAAATAAAAGTCCAATTAGAATCGTTTGATCAATAATCGTCAAGCGATCTGAGCCACGAAAAGCTCAATACAAACTTTTCTAACTATTTTATTATATAGACATTCAATCCAAACACATTCAACTGTCATCTGAATATGATATAAATTGGTATATCTAGTCATTTCTCTTATTTGGGTAGATTATATTTTTTTTGTAGGATCCATAAATAATAGTGATATAATTTATTCTCATCGATTATTATACATATATCTAGGGATGTCAATGGACTAAAGCAGGGGTGAGGAGTGTAGTCTCCATCCCCGTACCCGCTTAAAAAAACTTTGTTCATCCCCCGTCCACCCTTATTAATGGGTATAGTTTTTATCCCCCCTCCTGTTCGCGAGTAAATTTCTAATCCTTACCCCTGTCCTCGCTTCCCCCGTACCCACCCAAACCCAAGCCTAAGCCTAAGCCTAAGCTCAAGCCCAAACCCAAGTCATTCCAAAATGTTGTTCATTCTTAAACCCACCCCTAACCCATTTTGAGGGATTGCATTTCTCAAACTGGCTCATGAAAGAAAGGTCTTGCAATGTTGTGAAGTTAATTCTTATGTCTTATCCTTTCTAGGAAGGCCAAAACCAGAGCCAGACATGATTATTCAAGTAATCAATAATAAAAACATTATCTTAATTGCAGAGGTTTCATACTGTTAAAAAAGAACGACTTTATTGAGAACTACTAGATGTTCTATTCTGTCTTTGGTGCTCATCTGTGCTAAGAGTAAAGAGGGAACTGAAGATTTAACAAAAAAAATTTCTGGCCAACTTCAATGGGGACACTACTGGAGAGTTGATTTACGTTACTGAGGGATGTCGATATAACTTTTCATTCTCGTTGAACAAGAATTGTGTGATTTGTTGGAACTATTTGGTAATGCAAGTTGTGAAATGGAATAGCAGGAGGATGGGGGAGGGAAACAGACTTCACTAAAAGCACTGAACAATGGTAAGAGATCTGGAATGATTGTTCCCAAAGGAATTGAAGGAAGTGGGTGGAAGCATGTTGCGAGACAATTTGTTATGGTTGAAAATAGAGGATTGAGGTCTATGGACATACATCAGCGGCGAGCAAGTAGAGGAGACAGAGCTGAGTGCGATGGAGGCGGCCGACTGACAGAAGAGAGTAAGTTAGGGTTGATAAGTAGGGGCGGGAATAAGGTAAGTTCATCCCGTCTTCATTTTCGCACGGGTTTATACAGATATTTTTGTATACATCCAACGTCTAATACGTATAATTTATTCTCAATTCAAATGAGATGGATTTGGACGAATACCTATTTTTTTCTGGTCCATTGTCGTCCCTACACATATCCTATCAAATCCATTACCATGTTTATTTCATAAATTAGCCTCCAACTCATTCCAAATAAAAAAGTAAACTTAAACGTCTATTTTTTTGAACACCTCATTCGAATATAAAATAACTATTTTTAAATGTATTATAACCACAAAAAATACACATCATCAACCATTAACAACATAAAATGTTTACAAAATTAACCAAGAATTTCCTATCCGACAAAAAAATGTGTATGGATTTCATATAACTCATGTAGGTAGATTAAAGTTAATTTCTCAAATCAAGTCGAGAAAAATTTTGAATGAGGTTTTATATACATTTTTTAGTTACCAAATATGAGATATATGAATCACACGTGAAATTTTTATCCTATCTTATCATAAGTATTCACCTTTAACCGGTGATCTAAATATATTTAGAAAGTCAAGAGATAACAAGAATAAATTGTAAATTCAGACGTCATGAGTATGAATATTGACAATTTTTTGAGGACAGACCATAGAATTTCGACATGAATGAATTTCTTTTAATCGAATAAAAAAAAAATTATTCTAAATGCATGTAAATTAACCTAAAAATTCAGACCGTGACACAAAACAAAAAAAATAAAAAAAAAGTGAAGGTCCCATCGAGTCTGATGAAAGAAAAAAAAAAAGGTCCCATCGATGCACCCAACTTCATCCGATCAATCCTATGGACTCAATTTTTTCAAAGTCACATACTCGATTCCTATTAGTGGTGGACCCCACTAAGTGAGTCCCACCACCCTCCCCACCTGCCCCGAAACCACACTCAGCAGAAAAAAACCATTCCGGGGTTGGTGAAAACCACTTTCTGTCTCCTCCTCTCTCCTCCAACTATAAAGAAAACACCACTTCACAAAAACGCGTCAGAACCACTTCATACCTAAAAACTACCCCAACCACAAACACCATAAAAAATGCCTTCCGAACAACCCCCGCCGCACTCCGCCACTGTGCCACCAAACTTCTGGGGCGACATGCCGGAAGAAGAGTACTACACCTCCCAAGGCCTCCGCAATGCCCAGTCCTACTTCGAAACTCCAAATGGCAAAATCTTTACCCAATCCTTCATACCCATTGACCTTCCCATCAAGGCCACGGTTTACATGACTCACGGCTATGGCTCAGACTCAGGGTGGCTCTTCCAGAAGATATGCATAAACTTCGCCACCTGGGGCTACGCCGTCTTCGCCGCAGACCTCCTCGGCCACGGCCGCTCCGATGGACTCCGTGGCTATTTGGGAGATATGGAGAAGATTGCTGCGACGTCGTTGTCGTTCTTTGTGAGTGTGAGGGAGAGTGAAACTTATAAGCATCTTCCTGCTTTTCTGTTTGGGGAGTCCATGGGTGGGCTTGCTACGATTCTCATGTACTTCCAATCGAAGCCAGAGACATGGACTGGTGTGATGTTCTCTGCTCCACTCTTCGTCATGCCCGAGAACATGAAGCCATCCAAGGTAATGTTACATACAATTTAATGATCTATTCCCCCAATTAGTGTAATATGTGTTTTGATTCATCTGTACGCTGAAGGTAAAAAAATTTCAAAGGAACAGATAAGAAAATCAAAAAGGCCAATTCCTCCAATTCATACATCTTAACTTTGGGGGAAATTTCAAGTTGTTTACATAATTTTGGAGATATCTTCATGTTGGATTTGATGGAAACATTCGGCTAAATTCAAGAAATCTATAGATTTTTTGAATCTAAATTCGAGCTAGAAACTAGAAAGGGGACAAGTTTAGGAAATCAAAAAGGCCAATTCCTCCTATTCTACTTCGTACTTAACGATTTTTCATAATTTTCAGGTGTCTTGAATACTTTTGAGAGTAAATTATATATGACCTTTAAACTATCATCTTTTGAAGATCTGAATTCTCTAATTGTTAATTGAATCCTTTCGTTTGTCTCCCCGTTAAACTTTTTAACAGAAATTGGCGAAAGTTTCCACTCACGGGAGACAAATGGTTGGAGCAAATCATAAATATAACCCTCAAATTATAATTTTTATGTCGATTAAACCTTGGATTTTTTTATGTGTCATTTAACCTCTTAAACTCTCTAATCGTAGTAATTGATTCTTTTTGTCTTTTTGTGCCATCTAGTCATGTGAGTGGCACACGAGACGGATAGAAGGGCTCAATTTACAAAATTAAAGAGCCCACGGATTCAATTGACACAAAATTCTCTAATTGTGTCGATTAAGTTTTTTGTCATATAGCCATGTGTGAGTGAATATATATAAGGGATTAATTGACACAAGTAGAAGGTTCATAGATTTTATTGTAATTTACTCTACTTTTAAGGAAACCATTCTGCTAAATTCTAGAATTTAGCAAAACTTTCTTACAATGATTTTTGTTAAGTGTGAAAGCAAGATGTTGATTTTGATTGATAAATATCAATAATTTACTCCTTGTAGGTGCGGCTGTTCATGTATGGACTTTTGTTCGGAATGGCGGACACATGGGCATCGCTGCCGGACAATAGAATGGTGGGCAAGGCAATCAAAGACCCGGAGAAACTGAAGATCATCGCCGGCAATCCGAGGAGATATACAGGGAAGCCAAGGGTCGGGACAATGAGGGAGCTAGCTAGAATGTGTGAGTTCGTGCAGCACAATTTCCACAAGGTGACCGTGCCCTTTTTTGTCGCGCACGGGACCTCCGACGGAATCACTTGCCCGTCAGGATCGAAGATGTTGTATGAGAAAGCAAGCTGTGAGGACAAGACATTGAAGCTGTATGAAGGAATGTACCATTCTCTTGTACAGGGTGAGCCTGATGAGAATGCCAATTTGGTGTTGGGAGACATGAGGGCTTGGATTGATGAGAAGGTTGAGAGGTATGGTCCAAAGTGTAACGGTAGCTAAGCTTTGAATTGAGCCCTCTATGTATGTGTGTGGAGGGGTGGGCTATGGGAAGGTGGTGAAGAAATGGGCACAAAATGTAATATTCTGAATTATTATTGTTTTATATATATTTTGATTAATTAAAAGAACATTTACATAATTTGTCAGAATGAGCACGTTATGCTCCTTGTATGTTCTGCCCTTACCCTGATACTTCATTCCTCGTATGCGTGTAACTATTGCACAAGTATTGTTATGAAAGCCAAGAGATTTGTTTATTTAAAGATTTATTCGTAGACCAATTATTAACTTTAGCTGCGCTTGAGGGACACAATTTTTTAGGAGTTGGCTTCGATACAACTTTTATTTTTTTCGGCACGATGCCAAAAAAGTAAAGGTATAGTCGGTAGGACCCCATTTTTTATTCTTACTTAACCTCAACACCTACCGCACAGATTGGATTGATGCCTACTAAGACTGCTCACCGACGTCTATATTTGATTATTGTTTTTTTAACAATAGTTAGTACATAAATAATTTATTTTTATGGGTATATGTGTGTGTGTGTATCATTTCATATTAGGTTAGGTTTCTAAGAAGACAACAAATCTGGATTAAGGGAGAAAAAACAAAGCAGCGAAAACACAAATAAATGCCACTAGAAAAAGTTTTTTAAAAAAAAAACAACTAAAAATATGGATGAAGCTATTGCATAAGATATTTTTTTTAGTATCACACTAAAAAATAATTATTAGTTATTGATTTTTAATTGATTCATCTGTAATAATTGAAAAAGTAACATAAAATAGTAAAATAATAAAATTTTATACGTGTCATATTTGTGTCGGTTAAAAAGAAAATGTATAGTATCGAAGATGAGTTTTCATGGCATACAGCTGGGCCAAAAAATCATAATCACAAACTAGTTTTAACAAAGATGTAAGGTTTACGTCTTTGCACAAGAGGCAAACCAAGGTGAATGATGCTTTGCAATGCTTTTGAACTTTTGTGGACAAACGGTAGGATAAAGACGAACAAAACCAACAACCTTTTTTTTTTTTTTTTGGGGCATTCAGCTAAAGCACACGTCGCCAATGTCTAGATAATCTTTCAAATTCAAAGGGAACCTTATTGATTACGACAATGCTTTATCTCAGATCAGAGGTTCATAAAGGTTAGAGGTGTTAAAAGGTATTCGGGCGGCTAATTCTGACCTGAGTGATGCCTAATGGGCTCAACTTCTTATGGATGGAATTTACAACCCGATTAATTTTCCTGCGCTATTCTTGTGTTTGTTGCCGCTCCCAGCTATAGGTTTGTGGTGTTCTTCAGACCTGAAGATCCATGGCCCAAAACTCAACCCGATTCTTTGTATTTCTCAGTAATTGAGTTCCATTGTCACACCCACTAGACTAAAATACAAAGCCTAATGTCATGTTAGCCTCTTGAAACATCACCCAAATAAGGGGATCTCGAGATTTTTTTTTCTTGACTAATTAAGAAAATTGGACCTAAAACTGAACGAGATGCAATCAAATCCAATAAAATTAAGGCTGGATTTCCAAATCGATATAAGGTTGCAGAACAACGAAGTAATTGGAAATTCAATCCAAAAATTAAAAGATAATACAACAAAGAAGAAGATACATCATACAACCACATGAAATTAATAACCTAGTGGACAATAGAAGCACTCACCCTATCGTAGATGGCCATGTTGCTTGAGCTGACATGATTATCCCCACGATCACGCCAAACAATCCAAGTGCACTACCAAAGATCTCAATCACAAGGATCTTAACAAAAAGTGAAGAGTTTTGAGCATCAGACAAAGCACAGCTACTTCCAATTATTCCAACACATAACCTGAGCCAAAGAGCAATAAAGATTAGGACTGTAATCATAAGCCACTAAATAATGGCATGCAATTCAATCCCATTGGATGGAAATTCAGGCTCACCCGCAGAAAAGATTTGCAAAGCCCACTATTATTCCTGAGGCAAAGATGGCATATCCTGCTCTGAGGGACTCAGGTTCATAAATATTGGATGAGGAGACACTTTCTAGCTTTGTTTGAAGAATGATAGCCACAATGACTCCATAAATAGCAACAGCCTCACAGAAAATTACACTGAGAGGACAAACAAAAGATTTCAAAGTTTGACCACCATCAGATGTGGTATAAACATGCAGAGAACATGGAGAAGTAGAAGAACAAGAAGCAGCAATGCGAAGCTTATAAAATGTTGTAATTAATATTCTCCAAACTGATGTAGGATATTCACAAGAATAGAACAGGAGATTCACTAAGATCAGGAGAAGATAGGAAGGAAGACATGACCCAAAACTTTGCCTTGATCCAAGACTTGATCGTTTCCAGATACAACTTATAAGCAACAAATCATCATCATTTAGGCTGCATCTAGGACAACTGAACAAGATTTCGTCCAATACATTAGTCAGCATTATTTGGAAACTTGATTAGAAAATGCATAAAAAGAGGATATCATCATCATATGCATTAGCAAGGATTATATTGGTCAAGAGTCTCATGACTTTTCTACTAGTTACCAGAAGATGCAAGTTAGATAAGATAGCAAAGTGGGGAAACTATGCCGAGTTTACAAGGCGTATAAAAAGAAAATATATCTTCAAACTGAAGAATTTCTAATGTTATATAGAAACACCCAGACCGGACTTCAATTGACTTCAGCCTGGAAATGTCACTTGAAAATTTTGGGGAGCGGTTCTTGTGTTTCCAGCACAGACTCACTTGTTTGACTAGCTACTACGTCATCTAAATTCAAGTGCCAATTTTGTAATAACTGGTTGAAATCTTTGGTCAAACAATTCTCCTAACTAGATTTCGGAGTTGGCGCTTTGAGAATAACTACGCCACTTACTCAGAGATTTATTCAACTGATACAGGGGATGGAAAAGCCAGTAGCTGGGAATTTAGTCTCCATACTATTTTCCCTCCAAAATGCTTATCTATTCAAGAATTTTAAGATTTCATATTCTTATGTAACCTCCCTCTATTCCATCTTTTCCATCAATTCTATCCTTGAAAGCATTAGAAAAGAAGAAAAAAAGGAATAAGGTTTGAAGATACCTTATGACGATGAATTGTGTACCATAGTTATGGAAGCACGTACAACTCCTCCTTGTTATCACTCTCCCAATTTCAATGTGCTGTATTTGTTCTCCTAACTTATGCATTGTGTCTACTGTGTGGATAGAGTTACATAGGGGCATAGACAGACTCATACAAACACAACACTGGCTCATAATTCAAGATCTAGGCCTTTTCTATTCAGATTGGATGTGTTCTCCTTGACATTAATTTCCTATTTGATTAAGCACTATACTTTTTAATGCTAAACCCTTGTTTTCGGGTAAATCCTTAAGCCCTACTTATTCTCACCTAGTTTACACCGCTCTTGGCAAGTATATTATATCGCAATTGAGACTTGACACATTATACCTTTGTTCTTAAAGTTTGAATTGATAACCTGTAATCATAATATGAACCTTAAAGTAGAGTGGACATTTTCAGTGTTTTGCATCAACTATTCATTTGGAGGGGAAGAGTAGAGCAATGTTAATTGTAAAATTAAACCAGGATGGACTAAGTAAAGGAATACGTCTGATGTGTTATGTGATTCATATATATCTCTTAAGTTGTAAGGTAACTTTTACATGACAACCATTAGATAACTGACAATACTTTATGATACATATTTTTGGCCAAGTAACTCAAAAACTATGAGTTGTGGAAATGAGAATGTTAGGATAGCCATGCAATTAAGAAACAATATGTCAAAAAACTAAGCAGAAAAGGGAATATTAGGATACTTCTGCAATACTAGACATGATAGAATTATGAAAGAGTATATTGGTGAAACCATAGAAGTAGGCCCAATAGCCATCGTTTAAGTGCAATTCAAGTGGTGCATATTAACAGTTGGACTTTTCTAAGGTACTCGTGATGATATTACTTAGCCGCTTGTTCCGTGATGGTGCATTGACATGAAAGTTTCTAAGAGTGGTTCCAAATTTACATTTGCAGATGAAATTGTATAGCCAACAAACAAACAGGTAACTCTCAATCAATCAATCAAGCTACATATTATCAAACAAAACCATTTCAAAACGAAGAACATCCAAAACAAGTACAACACTGAACTTGGGAGAGTGAATTTCAAAAAAATTACCTGATAAGATTTTTGGATGTGATTCTGGGGGCTTTAATAGCAGCTCCAATCAAACTACTTCCGGTTATATATATTCCCCTAACGAATTGGTCCGAAAACAAGATTAAAAGGTCAATTTTAGCAGACAGACAACAAATCAAAAGAACTACAGCGAATAGAAACCATGGCGTATTGTGGATGTGAGAGAAACTAGAGAATTATACCAAGCAGCGCCGAGAACAGAAACACCTATGGCGATTGCGATTCCGATGGCGGAGAATGTGTACGGAGAGATTCGCACCAACGCCAGAGACCATGAGCTCGATGAACCCACCATCGTCGCTGTACTACTCGGCATCGATTCAGACACAAATCGATTTCTATGCATGGAGAGACGAAGATAAATGGCTTGATTGATTGTAGAGAAGAAGATAAATGGGTTGAGTAGAGTAACCCGAAATTAGGACCAAATTAGAGAGATATTTTGAAACGGGCTTGACCCGCGGTGGCCCTGAACGTGGAAAACCTGAAAATTTTAAAATGGGCTTCACCACAAAGGTCCTGAATTTAGAAAATAGGCTTTAGGTGGGCTAACTCAATATATCTATGACAGAACCATCCCACATCCATGAGTTATATTTTTTTTGGGCACGGTGAAGCCTCTAAACTCGATCATAGGATTTGATACAATATACTGTGAACAACAATGTTACCTGAAAAGTTTTAAATACTAATGGACTTTGGTCTAATGATACTCTTTATATTGTGAAAATTTTATCTTCTTGAGGTCAAGAGTTCAAACCTATTTTTTCTCTATCATCTCCCCCCTTCCCGTCCAAAAAAAAAAAGACAGTTTTAAATAGACTCATCTAACGTCCACTAATATCTCTTTGAAAATCATTCACATTCTATCATACATTCAGGCATGAGTTTCCCCTAATGAAATTAAAAAGTAAACTTAAAAATGTGTACTTTTTAATCACAACAATTAATTTCATTATCTCTCTCTTGTATCTATCTATATGAGCAATATTATTGGTATATAATTTAGAGACATAATATATTGTGACCAATGAATTGATAATGAAATGCATTTAATGCTATAATGGATCTATATGTAGAATTAGCATTGGATTTGTGTGGGTTGAATTGTTTTAATATTTTTTTTATTGCTAATCTATCTTATAATTTATTGGTTAATCAGAAAATCTTGATTCATCTGGAACAAAACATTGTAATGTGCAAAATGGTATCTATTATTTATATGTGAATCCTTTATTTATATATGATGAATGATTTATCATTGAATAAAATTATGTGCAAAAGTAACAGAGAGAATTTAAATTCCATATTGTAGAGCTATGTTCTTATTGCTCGTCATGATATTCTTTAAGCAGCATTGATGTGTGTTGGCCCCCGGATGAAGGGGAGGGGAGGGGGGGGGAGGGGAGGGGGGTTAAGGACCACTGTGGGCCTCATGCGCCTGTTTGGCTATCAAACAACAGAGCTTAAAGATCACGAGGGCCACACACACACACATATATATATATATATACTTTGCAAAATACAAAGTTTGGCATATGTGTCATGTATATAAGGAAATCATTTGGGCAACTTGTTTTGTACCTGATTTTTATTTGGTCACTGGACAATCAAGGAAAACAAATGAAGTCCCTAGACTTTAAATGGGTTACAATTAAATTCCTTCTTGTCGTATTCATCATCTGATATTATAAAGGGTAAACATCTCACTTTTTTTATTTATTTGTAAATTTAACTTGTATATTTCTTTGCTCACAATTACATATCATAAAGACTCGAAGATGTTCATGTAATACTTTTTTTTGTTACATTTGCTACAGAATTTGAATGTATTGACTTAATTGTTTAACTGATATGATGAATGGGATAGTAATCAGTCCTGGCCTCAAAGAGGATATCAATATATCATGACCGTGAGAGAGAGAGAAGAGAGAGAGAGAGAGAAGAGGGGGAGGACAAGCTTCATTAATGCGATATTCCACCCAAGGACACATTGTGAATCATTCTCTGGCATATAGAATACATAATTCATCACAACACCCCAATAGAATGAAAGGACTGCTAACAGAAACCTCTCTCTCTCTCTCTCTCTCTCTCTCTCTCTCTCTCTTCGTCACCCTTGTTCGAGACACCAACGGTCAATAATGGTTCATCCTCCCGGACCACCCATCTCATATTTCTTAT